CGCGTAAATATAATTAGTAAAATAAATTAATAAGTTGATTGCCTGTGCACGGTGGACAAATGTAAGATTCCGCAAAACCCATCTTGAATAATCTTCGAGCTGTATAGTGCACTCTGTGGAGGATTTTGTATTGTATTAATTGTAAATTGGGGTTTCTAGTCATGTTAAAAGTTCTTAGACATATCTGAGCCCAGATGTTTTGTTCAAAGCTGGCTGATAAATCCTCCTCCCTTTTCATAATAGGAAGAGATATTGTATCATCCAGTTTAGTCAGTGTCCTGTATAGTTTAGTAGTTTGGGGGGGGGGTTAACTCTAGGAACTCAGATATATTAGTTGGAATTATTAAACCTCCATCAATATGCTTAAATTTATTTCTAATTATAGCTTTAATTTGCTTATATTCTAAGAATTTATTTTTGTTAATGCCATATTGCAAATTTAATCTAGCAAATGTGATAAACTCCGTACCTTCAAACAAATGATCCAGATATGTAATACCTTTATTCTTCCAGTACGGAAAGTTGATCATATTATTGTTTTGTAGAATGTCAGGGTTATTCCAGATGGGTGTACGGCTGCACAGGATAAGATAGATAGAAGATAAATGACTTCGTTATTTTTAGAAATTCCCACCATGCTGTCAGGGAAGAGCTGATGTTAATATTTTTAAAACATGGGTGCCGTTTGATCTTAGAGCTAATAAACGGCAAATCTGAGATTATGATATTACTGCATATTTCCTGTTCTGTGTCTATCCAGGGCTCATCTAAGACATTATGTTTTATCCATTTAGAGATGTATTGTAATCTATTTGCTAAGTAGTAGTGTTGGAAGTTAGGTAAATCTAGTCCCCCTCTGTGTTTTCTGTAGTGTCTTTAAGCTGATATATTAGAGATGGAAGAATCTAGAATTGAGATTTAAACCAGTCAGATGATGGTTTAATGGGGATAATTGAAAATAGGTAGTTAATTCTGGGTAAGACCATCATTTTAATTGAGGCTACCCGACCCATAAGGGAGATCGGAAGCAATTTTCTTTCTAGATCCTCTTCTATCTTTTTTTTTTGTGTGGTTGAGTTTTGGTAACTCAGCTAGTTTAGACGACACATTAATTCCCAAATATTTGATATTTCCTGATTGCAATTGTAGACCTGAGGGATTCTGTAGAGAACAATTAATTGGTAGTATTATAGATTTAGACCAATTTATAGAGTATTCTCAGACTTTTGAGAAAGATTCTAGTAATCTAATTACTTGAGAGAGGCAAGTGTTTGAGTGCTGGAGATAAAGTAATACATCATCAGTGTAAAGACTAATTTTATGCTCTATTTTCATGCCTTTTATACCTTTAACCACATTAGTTTGTCTGATTGTAGCAGCCAGAGGCTCAATGAAAATAGCAAAAAGTGAGGGGGAGAGCGGGCATCCCTGCCTGGTGCCCCTATGGAGACAAAAGCTGGAAGATGTATGATTATTTGTCCTGACACAGGCTGTTGGGAAGCTGTATAAGATTTTTAATCAATTTATAAAGGAATTGCCAAAACCAAATCTATATAGAGTAGCAAATAAAAATGTTTACTCTATTAAATGCTTTCTCTGCATCTAAAGACAATATGTAGGATTTAATAATTTTACTGTAGGAATAATCTATTAAATTCAGCAGTCTGCGTGTGTTAGCGGCTGACTGCCTTCTTTTAATGAAACCAGTTTGATCTGGGTGGATTATGAGAGGAGTGACTTTATCTGATCGTTTTGCCAAAGCTTTACAGATTATTTAATATCCACATTAATTAAGGATATGGGACGATAGCTGGTGGGAAACATAGGATCTTTGCCTGACTTAAGCAGGAGACTGATGGTGGCAGAATTCATATTAACTGGAGATTTGCCATTATCTTGAGTTTCCTGCAGCATTCTGTGGAACGTTGGGGCCAGAATGTTCCAGAACTCTTTCTAGAACTCAGTAGGGAACCCGTCTGGACCTGGCGCTTTATTATTTGGCATGCTTTTTAATGCTTCCTGAACTTCACCTATTATTCTAGATGTCGACATGCAGGGATTAAATACGTTTAGTTTCCTATGGGGCCGGGTTGGCTCCAGAGGTAGAAGACAGTGCGCCATGTTTGCTGGTGGAGAAGCAGCTGAGAAAAAAAAGTGTTGATTGAAGAATTTCCTCCTGAAGGTTCTGAGATGCTAACTGTTTGACCCAGATCTGACCAGCCTCCATCCCTCTTAATGGAAGGAGGCGTCTGGTGGACCTTCAGCCTCCCATCCTGGGCAGCTCTGTATTCCTGGGAGGAAGATGGAGGCTGAAAGGAGCAGAGCAGCAGGAGACTCTGCAGACTGACTGTGTTTACAGTCAGTGACAGAACGCCGGCTCTCATGGTTTGATGGTGACTCGGCTGCACATCGTTCTCTCCTGTCAAAGCAGGAAGAGCAAAGTGGAGCGTTAGCAGAAGGAGCTGCTTCTGCTGCAGGAAGCTGCCAAGAACCAGAGGCTTCAGTCTGCTTTCTGTCATCCCTTCACTGCAAGGAGGAGGCTTAAAGAAACATTTACATTTCAACAGTTCCATGTTCAGGTGAACATTTCATCAGCACGGATGGAGGAGGGGGGGTTATTACAGAGGGGTCACAGACTTCCTGTTTAGAGAAGGTGACAGGAAGCAGATACAGAAATAGGAAGGATAATATCCAGGACTTCATCCTGCAGCAGACGGACTTATAGATCCATTCTAGATCATTTAAGCCTAAAGGCTGATTGATGGTGTCTATTTTTAATCTGGCATTGTCTGAGTATCTTTGCTGAATATTGTTTTGCTTTATGAAGCTTTGCAAATGTTGCAGAGCAAAGCAGCAAAGTCCCCAGGACGAAGCAGCAGAGCCCCCAGGACGAAGCAGCAGAGCCCCCAGAACGAAGCAGCTGAGCCCCCAGAACGAAGCAGCAGAGCCCCCAGGACGAAGCAGCTGAGCCCCCAGAACGAAGCAGCAGAGCCCCCAGAACGAAGCAGCAGAGCCCCCAGGACGAAGCAGCTGAGCCCCCAGGACGAAGCAGCTGAGCCCCCAGAACGAAGCAGCTGAGCCCCCAGAACGAAGCAGCAGAGCCCCCAGAACGAAGCAGCAGAGCCCCCAGAACGAAGCAGCAGAGCCCCCAGAACGAAGCAGCAGAGCCCCCAGGACGAAGCAGCAGAGCCCCCAGGACGAAGCAGCTGAGCCCCCAGAACGAAGCAGCAGAGCCCCCAGAACGAAGCAGCAGAGCCCCCAGAACGAAGCAGCAGAGCCCCCAGAACGAAGCAGCAGAGCCCCCAGAACGAAGCAGCTGAGCCCCCAGGACGAAGCAGCTGAGCCCCCAGGACGAAGCAGCAGAGCCCCCAGGACGAAGCAGCAGAGCCCCCAGAACGAAGCAGCAGAGCCCCCAGGACGAAGCAGCTGAGCCCCCAGGACGAAGCAGCAGAGCCCCCAGGACGAAGCAGCAGAGTCCCCAGAACGAAGCAGCTGAGCCCCCAGAACGAAGCAGCAGAGCCCCCAGAACGAAGCAGCAGAGCCCCCAGAACGAAGCAGCAGAGCCCCCAGGACGAAGCAGCTGAGCCCCCAGGACGAAGCAGCTGAGCCCCCAGAACGAAGCAGCTGAGCCCCCAGGACGAAGCAGCAGAGCCCCCAGGACGAAGCAGCTGAGCCCCCAGGACGAAGCAGCTGAGCCCCCAGAACGAAGCAGCAGAGCCCCCAGGACGAAGCAGCAGAGCCCCCAGGACGAAGCAGCAGAGCCCCCAGAACGAAGCAACAGAGCCCCCAGGACGAAGCAGCTGAGCCCCCAGAACGAAGCAACAGAGCCCCCAGAACGAAGCAGCAGAGCCCCCAGAACGAAGCAGCCGAGCCCCCAGAACGAAGCAGCAGAGCCCCCAGAACGAAGCAGCCGAGCCCCCAGAACGAAGCAGCAGAGCCCCCAGAACGAAGCAGCAGAGCCCCCAGAACGAAGCAGCAGAGCCCCCAGAACGAAGCAACAGTTTTGATACATTTACAGCCTGAGATTCTAACTCCACTCCTGATGCAGCTGAGCGCCCCACAGGCTGCGCTCCTTCCTCTGGAGGCTCCGCTCCAAACTGGCCCTTTGAAGCGGAGCCAGTTTGGAGTGGAGTTCTGCAGGAGGAGTGGAAATAATCGGAGCGACCTGAATGCTACCAACACATACCAGAACATTAGACTGGAAGGGCTGCTGAGGTCAAAAGGTCAAACTCCTACGTTTAGGTTCTGGTTTCTGGTCCAGAGTCTGAAACCATCCAATCTGAGCACCTGGAGGGCGGGCCTAATGATGTCATCATCATCCGGCCCGTCCAGGGTTCTGTGGCCCTGTAGGGCTGGCAGGACTAAAGTGGGTCCTGGAGGGCCGCTGTCCTGGAGGTGTTAGACGTTTTCAGCTGTGCTGGAGCAGAGAAACCCCTAAATCCTCCAGGGTAGCGTTCCTCCAGGACGGATGATGGGGATGCCTGCAGTAGAGCATCCTGACGGGCCGCCCAGACCCAGCAGAATAAAAGGAGACGACTGGTTGATCTGTGGAAATCAGGGAGCATTTATTGATGGGGAGGGGAAAAAAAGAAAAGAAAAACTTCCTGAATGAGATTGTCTCCATGATCAATGCCGCACTGTGAGGAACCATTAAACACCAAACCATGATGTCGTCATGGAAACAGAGAGCAGGTGGAGCATCGATGGTTTGCTAACAAAGTAGCTACACAAATCAAACCAACTTTTTATTCTCATTTTGATAAACTCCTGTTTTTTTTTTTATTAACATCAAGAATGTTAACCCTTTAGTTAGATCTGAGCGAACTAGATCTGAGCGAGCTAGATCTGAGCTCGTTAGATCTGAGCGAGCTAGATCTGAGCTAGTTAGATCTGAGCGAGCTAGATCTGAGCTCGTTAGATCTGAGCGAGCTAGATCTGAGCTCGTTAGATCTGAGCGAGCTAGATCTGAGCTCGTTAGATCTGAGCGAGCTAGATCTGAGCTCGTTAGATCTGAGCGAGCTAGATCTGAGCGAGTTAGATCTGAGCGAGCTAGATCTGAGCGAGCTAGATCTGAGCGAGCTAGATCTGAGCTCGTTAGATCTGAGCGAGCTAGATCTGAGCTAGTTAGATCAGTTTGTCCAGTCGTTGACCATCAGGGGAAACGGCTCTAGATGTAGTCGTCCTCCACAGGCTCTCCAGGCATGTCGCAGTGATGGAGGAAGAGCACCACCACCCTCTGGAACACTCCTCTCCTGCTCTGCCTGCTCTCAGAGATCTCCTCGCCGATGGTCTCCATGCAGATGTCAGCGGAGAGCTGCCCCTTCCTCCTGGGAGCGTAGATGGTTGCTAACAGAGGAGAGGAGGAGCCATCTTTAGGATTCCTGATCAGGTTCTAGAAGCCACCAGCTAAGCCACCACTCACTGCTTTCGTCATCCTCAAAGTCACAGCGCGCGTAGCCGTTTGGGTCGGCGGCCCTCAGAGTCCTCAGCCAGGGGAAGTCTGTGATCATGCTGTAGGGGGCGCCATCCACCACTCCTGAAAAATAAAAGAAAACCTTGCTGAAGGCCTCTGCAGAACGACACCAGGAAAGGTCAAAGGTCAATCACTGGATAGATAAACAAGGCGACCTTTTAACGGGAGGAAGACGTTCCGCCTTAAAATAAGCAGATAAAATAGACACTGCAGCTGTTTTTTTTTTATTTAGGTTCTTTGGTAAAGTCACTTACGGTTTCTATGGTGATATAAAAGATAATGACCCTCAACATCAAGCTGAAACAAGGGAAATAAATGAAATAAAAATGTTATTGAATGAAGCTTCAACAGTCAACAACCGTCAGAAAAACGGCTGATTTATTCCCTCACTGCTGATCAACAGCATTTTAATCCATCAGGTGTGTTTACTCCTTTTATTTATTAACAGATAAAGATGTTTCAAATTACAGATCATCAATTTTATGATTTCTATTATTTCATCATTTATTTTACCGGCAGCTGATTGTTGTCTGGGTGTGAAAACTTTCCAGCACAGCTGTGCTTCAAATTACCCTCTAGCGTGTAGATGCCCCGCCCCCAGGGGTATTTGGGATACTTCTTCACATCATCCTCCCTTCTGGTGGTTTCTGGGAAAAACTCGTACTTGATCAACTCCCTGAGGAACAGACAGAAGAAAAGCAGTCAGCCAACCAGTCAGCCAGTCAGCCATCCAGTCAGTCATCCAGTCAGTCAGCCAGCCAGTCAGTCAGTGATTCAGTCAGCCAGCCAGTCAGTCATCTAGTCGGTCATTCAGTCAGTCAGTGATTCAGTCAGCCAGCCAGTCAGTCATCTAGTCGGTCATTCAGTCAGTCAGTGATTCAGTCAGCCAGCCAGTCAGTCATCTAGTCGGTCATTCAGTCAGTCAGTGATTCAGTCAGCCAGCCAGTCAGTCATCTAGTCGGTCATTCAGTCAGTCAGTGATTCAGTCAGCCAGCCAGTCAGTCAGTGATTCAGTCAGCCAGCCAGTCAGTGATTCAGTCAGCCAGCCAGTCAGTGATTCAGTCAGCCAGCCAGTCAGTGATTCAGTCAGCCAGCCAGTCAGTGATTCAGTCAGCCAGCCGGTCAGTCATCTAGTCGGTCATTCAGTCAGTCAGTGATTCAGTCAGCCAGTCAGTCAGTGATTCAGTCAGCCAGCCAGTCAGTGATTCAGTCAGCCAGCCAGTCAGTGATTCAGTCAGCCAGCCAGTCAGTCATCTAGTCGGTCATTCAGTCAGTCAGTGATTCAGTCAGCCAGTCAGTCAGTGATTCAGTCAGCCAGCCAGTCAGTGATTCAGTCAGCCAGCCAGTCAGTGATTCAGTCAGCCAGCCAGTCAGTCATCTAGTCGGTCATTCAGTCAGTCAGTGATTCAGTCAGCCAGTCAGTCAGTGATTCAGTCAGCCAGCCAGTCAGTGATTCAGTCAGCCAGCCAGTCAGTGATTTAGTCAGCCAGCCAGTCAGTGATTCAGTCAGCCAGCCAGTCAGTCATCTAGTCGGTCATTCAGTCAGTCAGTGATTCAGTCAGCCAGCCAGTCAGTGATTCAGTCAGCCAGCCAGTCAGTGATTCAGTCAGCCAGCCAGTCAGTGATTCAGTCAGCCAGCCAGTCAGTCATCTAGTCGGTCATTCAGTCAGTCAGGGATTCAGTCAGCCAGTCAGTCAGTGATTCAGTCAGCCAGCCAGTCAGTGATTCAGTCAGCCAGCCAGTCAGTCATCTAGTCGGTCATTCAGTCAGTCAGTGATTCAGTCAGCCAGTCAGTCAGTGATTCAGTCAGCCAGCCAGTCAGTGATTCAGTCAGCCAGTCAGTCAGTGATTCAGTCAGCCAGCCAGTCAGTGATTCAGTCAGTCAGCCAGCCAGTCAGTCAGTGATTCAGTCAGCCAGCCAGTCAGTGATTCAGTCAGCCAGTCAGTCAGTGATTCAGTCAGCCAGTCAGTCAGTCAGTGATTCAGTCAGCCAGTCAGCCAGTGATTCAGTCAGCCAGTCAGTCAGTCAGTGATTCAGTCAGCCAGTCAGTCAGTGATTCAGTCAGCCAGCCAGTCAGTGATTCAGTCAGCCAGTCAGTCAGTGATTCAGTCAGCCAGCCAGTCAGTGATTCAGTCAGTCAGCCAGCCAGTCAGTCAGTGATTCAGTCAGCCAGCCAGTCAGTGATTCAGTCAGCCAGTCAGTCAGTGATTCAGTCAGCCAGTCAGTCAGTCAGTGATTCAGTCAGCCAGTCAGCCAGTGATTCAGTCAGCCAGTCAGTCAGTCAGTAATTCAGTCAGCCAGCCAGTCAGTGATTCAGTCAGCCAGTCAGTCAGTCAGTGATTCAGTCAGCCAGCCAGTCAGTCAGTGATTCAGTCAGCCAGTCAGTCAGTCATCTAGTCGGTCATTCAGTCAGTCAGTGATTCAGTCAGCCAGTCAGCCAGTGATTCAGTCAGCCAGTCAGTCAGTCAGTGATTCAGTCAGCCAGTCAGTCAGTCAGTGATTCAGTCAGCCAGTCAGTCAGTGATTCAGTCAGCCAGCCAGTCAGTGATTCAGTCAGCCAGTCAGTCAGTGATTCAGTCAGTCAGTCATTCAGTCAGTCAGTGATTCAGTCAGTCAGTCAGTGATTCAGTGATTCAGTCATTCAGCCAGTCAGTGATTCAGTGACTCAGTCATTCAGTCAGTCAGTGATTCAGTCAGTCAGTCAGTGATTCAGTGATTCAGTCAGTCAGTGATTCAGTCAGTCAGTCAGTGATTCAGTCAGTCAGTCAGTGATTCAGTCAGTCAGTGATTCAGTCAGTCAGTGGTTGATTCAGTGACTCAGTCATTCAGTCAGTCAGTGATTCAGTCAGTCAGTCAGTGATTCAGTCAGTCAGTCAGTCAGTGATTCAGTGATTCAGCCAGTCAGTCAGTGATTCAGTCATTCAGTCAGTCAGTGATTCAGTCAGTCAGTCAGTGATTCAGTGATTCAGTGATTCAGCCAGTCAGTCAGTGATTCAGTGACTCAGTCATTCAGTCAGTCAGTGATTCAGTCAGTCAGTCAGTGATTCAGTCAGTCAGTCAGTGATTCAGTGATTCAGCCAGTCAGTCAGTGATTCAGTGATTCAGTCATTCAGTGATTTAGTCAGCCAGTCAGTGATTCAGTCAGCCAGTCAGTGATTCAGTCAGTCAGTCAGTGATTCAGCCAGTCAGTCAGTGATTCAGTGATTCAGTCATTCAGTGATTTAGTCAGCCAGTCAGTGATTCAGCCAGCCAGTCAGTGATTCAGTCAGTCAGTCAGTGATTCAGTGATTCAGTCATTCAGTCAGTCAGTGATTCAGTGATTCAGTCAGTCAGTCAGTGATTCAGTGATTCAGTCATTCAGTCAGTCAGTGATTCAGTCAGTCAGTGGTTGATTCAGTGACTCAGTCATTCAGTCAGTCAGTGATTCAGTCAGTCAGTCAGTGATTCAGTCAGTCAGTCAGTGATTCAGTCAGCCAGCCAGTCAGTGATTCAGTCAGCCAGCCAGTCAGTGATTCAGTCAGCCAGCCAGTCAGTGATTCAGTCAGCCAGCCGGTCAGTCATCTAGTCGGTCATTCAGTCAGTCAGTGATTCAGTCAGCCAGTCAGTCAGTGATTCAGTCAGCCAGCCAGTCAGTGATTCAGTCAGCCAGCCAGTCAGTGATTCAGTCAGCCAGCCAGTCAGTCATCTAGTCGGTCATTCAGTCAGTCAGTGATTCAGTCAGCCAGTCAGTCAGTGATTCAGTCAGCCAGCCAGTCAGTGATTCAGTCAGCCAGCCAGTCAGTGATTCAGTCAGCCAGCCAGTCAGTCATCTAGTCGGTCATTCAGTCAGTCAGTGATTCAGTCAGCCAGTCAGTCAGTGATTCAGTCAGCCAGCCAGTCAGTGATTCAGTCAGCCAGCCAGTCAGTGATTTAGTCAGCCAGCCAGTCAGTGATTCAGTCAGCCAGCCAGTCAGTCATCTAGTCGGTCATTCAGTCAGTCAGTGATTCAGTCAGCCAGCCAGTCAGTGATTCAGTCAGCCAGCCAGTCAGTGATTCAGTCAGCCAGCCAGTCAGTGATTCAGTCAGCCAGCCAGTCATTCATCTAGTCGGTCATTCAGTCAGTCAGGGATTCAGTCAGCCAGTCAGTCAGTGATTCAGTCAGCCAGCCAGTCAGTGATTCAGTCAGCCAGCCAGTCAGTCATCTAGTCGGTCATTCAGTCAGTCAGTGATTCAGTCAGCCAGTCAGTCAGTGATTCAGTCAGCCAGCCAGTCAGTGATTCAGTCAGCCAGTCAGTCAGTGATTCAGTCAGCCAGCCAGTCAGTGATTCAGTCAGTCAGCCAGCCAGTCAGTCAGTGATTCAGTCAGCCAGCCAGTCAGTGATTCAGTCAGCCAGTCAGTCAGTGATTCAGTCAGCCAGTCAGTCAGTCAGTGATTCAGTCAGCCAGTCAGCCAGTGATTCAGTCAGCCAGTCAGTCAGTCAGTGATTCAGTCAGCCAGTCAGTCAGTGATTCAGTCAGCCAGCCAGTCAGTGATTCAGTCAGCCAGTCAGTCAGTGATTCAGTCAGCCAGCCAGTCAGTGATTCAGTCAGTCAGCCAGCCAGTCAGTCAGTGATTCAGTCAGCCAGCCAGTCAGTGATTCAGTCAGCCAGTCAGTCAGTGATTCAGTCAGCCAGTCAGTCAGTGATTCAGTCAGCCAGTCAGTCAGTCAGTGATTCAGTCAGCCAGTCAGCCAGTGATTCAGTCAGCCAGTCAGTCAGTCAGTGATTCAGTCAGCCAGCCAGTCAGTGATTCAGTCAGCCAGTCAGTCAGTCAGTGATTCAGTCAGCCAGCCAGTCAGTCAGTGATTCAGTCAGCCAGTCAGTCAGTCATCTAGTCGGTCATTCAGTCAGTCAGTGATTCAGTCAGCCAGTCAGCCAGTGATTCAGTCAGCCAGTCAGTCAGTCAGTGATTCAGTCAGCCAGTCAGTCAGTCAGTGATTCAGTCAGCCAGTCAGTCAGTGATTCAGTCAGCCAGCCAGTCAGTGATTCAGTCAGCCAGTCAGTCAGTGATTCAGTCAGTCAGTCATTCAGTCAGTCAGTGATTCAGTCAGTCAGTCAGTGATTCAGTGATTCAGTCATTCAGCCAGTCAGTGATTCAGTGACTCAGTCATTCAGTCAGTCAGTGATTCAGTCAGTCAGTCAGTGATTCAGTGATTCAGTCAGTCAGTGATTCAGTCAGTCAGTCAGTGATTCAGTCAGTCAGTCAGTGATTCAGTCAGTCAGTGATTCAGTCAGTCAGTGGTTGATTCAGTGACTCAGTCATTCAGTCAGTCAGTGATTCAGTCAGTCAGTCAGTGATTCAGTCAGTCAGTCAGTGATTCAGTGATTCAGCCAGTCAGTCAGTGATTCAGTCATTCAGTCAGTCAGTGATTCAGTCAGTCAGTCAGTGATTCAGTGATTCAGTGATTCAGCCAGTCAGTCAGTGATTCAGTGACTCAGTCATTCAGTCAGTCAGTGATTCAGTCAGTCAGTCAGTGATTCAGTCAGTCAGTCAGTGATTCAGTGATTCAGCCAGTCAGTCAGTGATTCAGTGATTCAGTCATTCAGTGATTTAGTCAGCCAGTCAGTGATTCAGTCAGCCAGTCAGTGATTCAGTCAGTCAGTCAGTGATTCAGCCAGTCAGTCAGTGATTCAGTGATTCAGTCATTCAGTGATTTAGTCAGCCAGTCAGTGATTCAGCCAGCCAGTCAGTGATTCAGTCAGTCAGTCAGTGATTCAGTGATTCAGTCATTCAGTCAGTCAGTGATTCAGTGATTCAGTCAGTCAGTCAGTGATTCAGTGATTCAGTCATTCAGTCAGTCAGTGATTCAGTCAGTCAGTGGTTGATTCAGTGACTCAGTCATTCAGTCAGTCAGTGATTCAGTCAGTCAGTCAGTGATTCAGTCAGTCAGTCAGTGATTCAGTGATTCAGCCAGTCAGTCAGTGATTCAGTGATTCAGTCATTCAGTCAGTCAGTGATTCAGTCAGTCGGTCAGTGATTCAGTGATTCAGCCAGTCAGTCAGTGATTCAGTGACTCAGTCATTCAGTCAGCCAGTGATTCAGTCAGTCAGTCAGTGATTCAGTCAGTCAGTCAGTGATTCAGTGATTCAGCCAGTCAGTCAGTGATTCAGTGATTCAGTCATTCAGTGATTTAGTCAGCCAGTCAGTGATTCAGTCAGCCAGTCAGTGATTCAGTCAGTCAGTCAGTGATTCAGCCAGTCAGTCAGTGATTCAGTGACTCAGTCATTCAGTCAGCCAGTGATTCAGTCAGTCAGTCAGTGATTCAGCCAGTCAGTCAGTGATTCAGTGATTCAGTCATTCAGTGATTTAGTCAGCCAGTCAGTGATTCAGTCAGCCAGTCAGTGATTCAGTCAGTCAGTCAGTGATTCAGTCAGTCAGTCAGTGATTCAGTGATTCAGTGATTCAGCCAGTCAGTCAGTGATTCAGTGATTCAGTCATTCAGTGATTTAGTCAGCCAGTCAGTGATTCAGCCAGCCAGTCAGTGATTCAGTCAGTCAGTCAGTGATTCAGTGATTCAGTCAGTCAGTGATTCAGTGATTCAGTCAGTCAGTCAGTGATTCAGTCATTCAGTCAGTCAGTGATTCAGTCAGTCAGTGGTTGATTCAGTGACTCATTCAGTCAGTCAGTGATTCAGTCAGTCAGTCAGTGATTCAGTCAGTCAGTCAGTGATTCAGTGATTCAGCCAGTCAGTCAGTGATTCAGTGATTCAGTCATTCAGTCAGTCAGTGATTCAGTCAGTCAGTCAGTGATTCAGTCAGTCAGTCAGTGATTCAGTGATTCAGCCAGTCAGTCAGTGATTCAGTGACTCAGTCATTCAGTCAGTCAGTGATTCAGTCAGTCAGTCAGTGATTCAGTCAGTCAGTCAGTGATTCAGTGATTCAGCCAGTCAGTCAGTGATTCAGTGATTCAGTCATTCAGTGATTTAGTCAGCCAGTCAGTGATTCAGTCAGCCAGTCAGTGATTCAGCCAGTCAGTCAGTGATTCAGCCAGTCAGTCAGTGATTCAGCCAGTCAGTCAGTGATTCAGTCAGCCAGTCAGTGATTCAGCCAGTCAGTCAGTGATTCAGCCAGTCAGTCAGTGATTCAGTCAGCCAGTCAGTGATTCAGTCAGCCAGTCAGTGATTCAGCCAGTCAGTCAGTGATTCAGCCAGTCAGTCAGTGATTCAGTCAGCCAGTCAGTGATTCAGCCAGTCAGTCAGTGATTCAGTCAGCCAGTCAGTGATTCAGTCAGCCAGTCAGTGATTCAGCCAGTCAGTCAGTGATTCAGTCAGCCAGTCAGTGATTCAGTCAGCCAGTCAGTGATTCAGCCAGCCAGTCAGTGATTCAGTCAGCCAGTCAGTGATTCAGTCAGCCAGTCAGTGATTCAGCCAGTCAGTCAGTGATTCAGTCAGCCAGTCAGTGATTCAGTCAGCCAGTCAGTGATTCAGTCAGCCAGTCAGTGATTCAGCCAGTCAGTCAGTGATTCAGTCAGCCAGCCAGTCAGTAGCTGTGTTTAGAAAACCACAGGAATGTTTCAGGTTAACAGCATAGAAACAGGATTCCAGATCATACAGGTCTGCTCTGTGTTCCAGTAGACTGCTGGTTTCACAGCAGCTCGTTCTTTATCCAGGATCAGCAGGTGGCGCTCTAACTCCTCCCCCCGTCAGTCAGGGATTCCCACCATACTGGAACATGGAGATATCTTCTGCTTGTTCTGGATCTGTTATTAAAATCCAATCTGTTTCCTCTACTTCTTTACCTTCCATGTCCAGAAAGCCACGGTCACTACCCGGAAGCACCATCCGTCCTGCGCATGTGGGAACACAATAAGATCGGGACAGCCGAAAATACTGAAAAGAATGGTAAACTATATCGTCTGGGAAATACTGAAGACTTTTCTGGAAGAAATGGAAACGTGACGTCATCATCGGAGACGCTCAGAGTCACAGTAACGTTCCAAAGGATATTTCGGTGCTTTATTTTGTATTGCTTTTTTTGAGTTTTTAAATATACATTATTTGCTCCCTCTGCCATATAATCTGTAAAACTCCCTGCACAATTCTAACAAAGCTATTTATATGCATAAATCAAGTGGAACACTATGGTGATAGCCGTACTGCTCCACTTGTGAAAGTAAAATCTGTTGGTCTCTTTTTGGCATCAAAACAATTATTCTTATGCCACGTCACCAGATAGGACACTGTAAAAAAAAATGCATCATTTGCACAAAAAAAATTAAAAATAAAATAAAATAAATAATCAAAATAAACCCCTGCCAGAAAAAGACAAAAGAAGAAAAAAGTAAGAAATGATTCTGTTCATGCAGGACGGATCGTGCTTCCAGGACGGATCGGGTAGTGACCGCCTCTTTAACCTGAGCAGAGCTAATGCTAACCGTAGCTGCTAATGCCTGCAGGAAGTGCGCCATCTTTTATTTTATGATGTCGTCTATTTGTGAAGATGACTCATGGATACCTTTCCTCTCCTCCTTGCAGAGCGAGTTTCCAGCTGGAAGCTGCTCCAGGTCAGGAAGGTTTTCGTTTCTATTGTTTCAGCGGCAGCTAGCTACGCAGGAAAAAACGCAAACATTAAATGGTGTGTGATGCGTCCCGTCATGAATGCTTACTGGCAGATGTTGGCTATGGTGTCCATCCAGCTGCGAATGCGAACTTTGTTGCGTATATTTGGCGGGTTGCTGAATTCATGAACGACAGCAATGTGATAAGGATAAGGTCCCTGGAAAAGCTGGCGCTCCAGGGCGACGGAGTCAATCTGAGGACAGAGAAGGGCACAGGTTACCATGGTAACACCATCTAAGGTCAGACCGTGGAAACAACATCAGGATGCCATCTTTGAGGACAGGCAGAGTCTGCTGACACACATTTCATTTCCCTCTGCAGAAAACTCAGAGCTAAATGCTAGAGAGAAACCGACGAGTTCAGGAGAAGACCTGAGACCTCCTAGAGACACGCTGCAAAGCACCACAGGTCGGACTGGAAACCGGGTCGCCCGCATCCAGGATAAAGTCCTCCATACATGGGTCATGTGCGCAAACCACCTGCACACCCAGACGCATTATGTTTTTGAATGTTATTCAAAATATGTTTTTAAGTATCTAAAACTGCATTTTGGATAGGCATTATTATAATTTAGATATCTGAAATTCCAATTTAAAAAGTCGATGTCAAGAATTGGATTGTTGACATCTGTAATGTTATATTCATTTTTGATATCATAAATAGTAGTTATGACTAGCAGTAACTCTATTATAGAGATCTGATATTATCATTATACCAACAATTATGTAAAAGAAGCACGGCTGATCACCCTGAACACACCATCCCCACTGTCAGACATGGTGGTGGCAGCATCATGGTGTGGGCCTGCTTTTCTTCAGCGGGGGAGATGGTTAAAACTGATAGGAAGATGGAAGGAGCCAAATATAGGAACATTCTGGAATAAAACCTGCTGGAGTCTGCAGAAGAGCAGAGACTGGGACAGAGATTTATCTGATCCAGAACCTGAAGCAGCATCTAGAATGGAACGCTTCAGTTCTACAGTTCTGCAGAGACGATCAGAAGCATTTCCACTAACCTGATGCATCGGACGCATGTAGATGATTCGATTTCTCTCAGGAGGCATTCGGAGGATTTGGTCCAGAACCTGCTCCATGTCCAGCTTCTTACACTGAGCAAAGTCAAACCTGTTCACTATGGGGGCGCGCTCTATCTTCAGGTGCTTCAGAACACGACACCTAGTGGCTGCAGAGAGGGAGAGAACAGAAACAGAGTTTTTAGGACCAGAGACGACTGGACTGCAGAAAAGCTTCATTATTCATTCTGTCAATAATCCTCAGAGGAGAAGAAAAGAATCTGGTTTATTTATTCAGAAAACGCATCAGAGTCTTTCCTTTCCAAAATGGAAGAAAGAGGCAGAATCTGGATGGACCAATCACAGCAGAGGAGGCTAACACCACTTTATGCCTTAATAATAGAGTTAAATGTACTAGAGGAGCAGAAACTCGATGAGGACCAGCAGCAGTAGAACTTCACTATATATCATAAATACAGTTATGAGATAAAACCCTGACAGGCCAGGAAGCAGACCAGGAAGCAGACACGGAAGGAAAGCAGACCAGGAAGCAGACCCAGAAGCAGACCAGGAAGCGAAGCAGACCAGGAAGCAGACCAGGAAGTGAAGCAGACCAGGAAGCGAAGCAGACCAGGAAGCAGATACGGAAGCAGACCAGGAAGCAGACCAGGAAGCGAAGCAGACCAAGAAGCAGACCAGGAAGTGAAGCAGACACGGAAGCGAAGCAGACCAGGGAGCAGACACGGAAGCAGACCACGAAGCAGACCAGGAAGCAGACACGGAAGGAAAGCAGACCAGGAAGCAGACACGGAAGCAGACCCGGAAGCAGACCAGGAAGTGAAGCAGACACGGAAGCAGACCCAGAAGCAGACCAGGAAGCGAAGCAGACCAGGAAGCAGACCAGGAAGTGAAGCAGACACGGAAGCAGACCCGGAAGCAGACCCGGAAGCAGACCCGGAAGCGAAGCAGACCAGGAAGCAGATACGGAAGCAGACCAGGAAGCAGACCCGGAAGCAGACCCGGAAGCGAAGCAGACCAGGAAGCAGATACGGAAGCAGACCAGGAAGCAGATCAGGAAGCGAAGCAGACCAAGAAGCAGACCAGGAAGTGAAGCAGACACGGAAGCGAAGCAGACCAGGGAGCAGACACGGAAGCAGACCACGAAGCAGACCAGGAAGCAGATACGGAAGCAGACCAGGAAGCGAAGCAGACCAAGAAGCAGACCAGGAAGTGAAGCAGACACGGAAGCGAAGCAGACCAGGGAGCAGACACGGAAACAGAGTTTTTAGGACCAGAGACGACTGGACTGCAGAAAAGCTTCATTATTCATTCTGTTAATAATCCTCAGAGGAGAAGAAAAGAATCTGGTTTATTTATTCAGAAAACGCATCAGAGTCTTTTCTTTCCAAAATGGAAGAAAGAGGCAGAATCTGGACGGACCAATCACAGCAGAGGAGGCTAACACCACTTTATGCCTTAATAATAGAGTTAAATGTACTAGAGGAGCAGAAACTCAATGAGGACCAGCAGCAGTAGAACTTCACTATATATCATAAATACAGTTATGAGATAAAACCCTGACAGGCCAGGAAGCAGACCAGGAAGCAGACACGGAAGGAAAGCAGACCAGGAAGCAGACACGGAAGCAGACCCGGAAGCAGACCAGGAAGTGAAGCAGACACGGAAGCAGACCCAGAAGCAGACCAGGAAGCAGACCAGGAAGTGAAGCAGACCAGGAAGCGAAGCAGACCAGGAAGCAGATACGGAAGCAGACCAGGAAGCAGACCAGGAAGCGAAGCAGACCAAGAAGCAGACCAAGAAGCAGACCAGGAAGTGAAGCAGACACGGAAGCGAAGCAGACCAGGGAGCAGACACGGAAGCAGACCACGAAGCAGACCAGGAAGCAGACACGGAAGGAAAGCAGACCAGGAAGCAGACACAGAAGCAGACCCGGAAGCAGACCAGGAAGTGAAGCAGACACGGAAGCAGACCCAGAAGCAGACGAGGAAGCGAAGCAGACCAGGAAGCAGACCAGGAAGCAGACCAGGAAGTGAAGCAGACACGGAAGCAGACCAGGAAGCAGACCCGGAAGCAGACCCGGAAGCGAAGCAGACCAGGAAGCAGACCCGGAAGCAGACCCGGAAGCGAAGCAGACCAGGAAGCAGATACGGAAGCAGACCAGGAAGCAGATCAGGAAGCGAAGCAGACCAAGAAGCAGACCAAGAAGCAGACCAGGAAGTGAAGCAGACACGGAAGCGAAGCAGACCAGGGAGCAGACACGGAAGCAGACCACGAAGCAGACCAGGAAGCAGATACGGAAGCAGACCAGGAAGCGAAGCAGACCAAGAAGCAGACCAGGAAGTGAAGCAGACACGGAAGCGAAGCAGACCAGGGAGCAGACACGGAAGCAGACCACGAAGCAGATACGGAAGCAGACCAGGAAGCAGACCAGGAAGCGAAGCAGACCAAGAAGCAGACCAGGAAGTGAAGCAGACACGGAAGCGAAGCAGACCAGGGAGCAGACACGGAAGCAGACCACGATGCAGACCACGAAGTGAAGCAGATCAGGAAGCAGACCCGGAAGCAAAGCAGACCAGGGAGCAGACACGGAAGCAGACCACGAAGCAGACCAGGAAGCAGACATGGAAGCAGACCCAGAAGGCAGAACCAGAAGCAGCCCAGGAAGCAGACACAGTATCAGACCAGGAGCGGTAATGAAGGTGCGTTAGGTGACCTCCAGGCACTGATGAAACGGTGATGCGCATATTGGAGGAGAAAAGACGGCAATATGGACCAGATGAGCAGACTGCCAACCATTCAGTCGCCCTCTAGTGGAGAACACAGAAACTTCATGATGAACGATCATTATGTGAAAAGGACCTGATCAGATCAAGAGGCCTGAGGTCCCTGGATCAGAGGAGGACATGGTGGTACCAGGCTGGGGGTGTGAGAAGTTAACGGGCCAGCCAAACTAAGTAGATCACTGAGCTTAAACGGCCTCGTGCAGCCTCTAGTTATCATCCAATGATCTAACCGCCCACAGACAGGAAGTGCTTCAGTGTTTTCCTTCCCATCTTTACAGAAACATTTACGAGTGTTTTTTCCTGATCCTGTTGTTGTAGGATCTGATCAGGGGAAAACTGGGACCACAGCTATATGGCCTGCTGATAATCTGGACCAATATTAGCTTCTCCCAATCTGGACCAATGTTAGTTTCTCCTACCTGCTGATAATCTGGACCAATATTAGCTTTTCCTGTCTGCTGATAATCTGGACCAATGTTAGTTTCTCCTGTCTGCTGATAATCTGGACCAATGTTAGCTTTTCCTGTCTGCTGATAATCTGGACCAATGTTAGCTTCTCCTGTCTGCTGATAATCTGGACCAATATTAGCTTTTCCTGTCTGCTGATAATCTGGACCAATGTTAGTTTCTCCTGTCTGCTGATAATCTGGACCAATGTTAGTTTCTCCTGTCTGCTGATAATCTGGACCAATGTTAGCTTCTCCTGTCTGCTGATAATCTGGACCAATATTAGCTTTTCCTGTCTGCTGATAATCTGGACCAATGTTAGCTTTTCCTGTCTGCTGATAATCTGGACCAATGTTAGCTTCTCCTGTCTGCTGATAATCTGGACCAATATTAGCTTTTCCTGTCTGCTGATAATCTGGACCAATGTTAGTTTCTCCTGTCTGCTGATAATCTGGACCAATGTTAGCTTCTCTTGTCTGCTGATAATCTGGACCAATATTAGCTTCTCCTGTCTGCTGATAATCTGGACCAATGTTAGCTTCTCCTGTCTGCTGATAATCTGGACCAATGTTAGCTTTTCCTGCTTGCTGATAATCTGGACCAATGTTAGCTTCTCCTGTCTGCTGATAATCTGGACCAATGTTAGCTTTTCCTGCTTGCTAATAATCTGGACCGATGTTAGCTTCTCTTGTCTGCTGATAATCTGGACCAATGTTAGCTTTTCCTGCTTGCTGATAATCTGGACCAATGTTAGCTTCTCTTGTCTGCTGATAATTTGGACCAATATTAGTTTCTCCTGTCTGCTGATAATCTGGACCAATGTTAGCTTTTCCTGCTTGCTGATAATCTGGACCGATGTTAGCTTCTCTTGTCTGCTGATAATCTGGACCATTATTAGCTTCTCCTGTCTGCTGATAATCTGGACCAATGATAGCTTCTCCTGTCTGCTGATAATCTGGACCAATATTAGCTTCTCCTGTCTGCTGATAATCTGGACCAATATTAGCTTCTCCTGTCTGCTGATAATCTGGACCAATATTAGCTTTTCCTGCCTGCTGATAATCTGGACCAATGTTAGCTTTTCCTGTCTGCTGATAACCTGGACCAATGTTAGCTTCTCTTGTCTGCTGATAATCTGGACCAATGTTAGCGTCTCCTGTCTGCTGATAATCTGGACCAATATTAGCTTCTCCTGTCTGCTGATAATCCGGACCAATGTTAGCTTTTCCTGCCTGCTGATAATCCGGACCAATGTTAGCTTCTCCTGTCTGCTGATAATCTGGACCAATGTTAGCTTTTCCTGCTTGCTGATAATCTGGACCAATGTTAGCTTTTCCTGCTTGCTGATAATCTGGACCAATGTTAGCTTTTCCTGCTTGCTGATAATCTGGACCGATGTTAGCTTCTCTTGTCTGCTGATAATCTGGACCAATGTTAGCTTCTCCTGTCTGCTGATAATCTGGACCAATGTTAGCTTCTCGTGTCTGCTGATAATCTGGACCAATGTTAGCTTTTCCTGTCTGCTGATAATCTGGACCAATGTTAGCTTTTCCTGTCTGCTGATAATCTGGACCAATGTTAGCTTCTCCTGTCTGCTGATAATCTGGACCAATGTTAGCTTTTCCTGTCTGCTGATAATCTGGACCAATGTTAGCTTCTCCTGTCTGCTGATAATCTGGACCAATATTAGCTTTTCCTGTCTGCTGATAATCTGGACCAATGTTAGCTTCTCCTGTCTGCTGATAATCTGGACCAATGTTAGCTTCTCCTGTCTGCTGATAATCTGGACCAATGTTAGCTTTTCCTGTCTGCTGATAATCTGGACCAATGTTAGCTTCTCCTGTCTGCTGATAATCTGGACCAATGTTAGCTTCTCCTGTCTGCTGATAATCTGGACCAATGTTAGCTTTTCCTGCTTGCTGATAATCTGGACCAATGTTAGCTTCTCCTGTCTGCTGATAACCTGGACCAATGTTAGCTTCTCTTGTCTGCTGATAATCTGGACCAATGTTAGCTTCTCCTGTCTGCTGATAATCTGGACCAATATTAGCTTTTCCTGTCTGCTGATAATCTGGACCAATGTTAGCTTCTCCTGTCTGCTGATAATCTGGACCAATGTTAGCTTTTCCTGCTTGCTGATAATCTGGACCAATGTTAGCTTTTCCTGCTTGCTGATAATCTGGACCAATGTTAGCTTCTCTTGTCTGCTGATAATTTGGACCAATATTAGTTTCTCCTGTCTGCTGATAATCTGGACCAATGTTAGCCTTTCCTGCTTGCTGATAATCTGGACCATTATTAGCTTCTCCTGTCTGCTGATAATCTGGACCAATGATAGCTTCTCCTGTCTGCTGATAATCTGGACCAATATTAGCTTCTCCTGTCTGCTGATAATCTGGACCAATATTAGCTTTTCCTGCCTGCTGATAATCTGGACCAATATTAGCTTTTCCTGCCTGCTGATAATCTGGACCAATGTTAGCTTTTCCTGTCTACTGATAATCTGGACCAATGTTAGCTTCTCTTGTCTGCTGATAATCTGGACCAATGTTAGCGTCTCCTGTCTGCTGATAATCTGGACCAATATTAGCTTCTCCTGTCTGCTGATAATCTGGACCATTATTAGCTTCTCCTGTCTGCTGATAATCTGGACCAATGTTAGCTTCTCGTGTCTGCTGATAATCTGGACCAATGTTAGCTTTTCCTGTCTGCTGATAATCTGGACCAATGTTAGCTTTTCCTGTCTGCTGATAATCTGGACCAATGTTAGCTTCTCCTGTCTGCTGATAATCTGGACCAATGTTAGCTTTTCCTGTCTGCTGATAATCTGGACCAATGTTAGCTTCTCCTGTCTGCTGATAATCTGGACCAATGTTAGCTTCTCCTGTCTGCTGATAATCTGGACCAATATTAGCTTTTCCTGCCTGCTGATAATCTGGACCAATGTTAGCTTTTCCTGTCTACTGATAATCTGGACCAATGTTAGCTTCTCTTGTCTGCTGATAATCTGGACCAATGTTAGCGTCTCCTGTCTGCTGATAATCTGGACCAATATTAGCTTCTCCTGTCTGCTGATAATCTGGACCATTATTAGCTTCTCCTGTCTGCTGATAATCTGGACCAATGTTAGCTTCTCGTGTCTGCTGATAATCTGGACCAATGTTAGCTTTTCCTGTCTGCTGATAATCTGGACCAATGTTAGCTTTTCCTGTCTGCTGATAATCTGGACCAATGTTAGCTTCTCCTGTCTGCTGATAATCTGGACCAATGTTAGCTTTTCCTGTCTGCTGATAATCTGGACCAATGTTAGCTTCTCCTGTCTGCTGATAATCTGGACCAATGTTAGCTTCTCCTGTCTGCTGATAATCTGGACCAATATTAGCTTCTCCTGTCTGCTGATAATCTGGGCCAATATTAGCTTCTCCTGTAGCGGCTGATTAAAGAAAGCGCTGGTGGATTGGTCGCTGCGTACAGCAGCCCCGCCATGAGCTCACCTGAAGCACACGCAGCGCTGCTCCCTCCATCTGCAGCCATTGCTCATCTTTCATTTGATCTGTTAGTAAATATTTATTTTTGGTTTACATATTTCTGATCATTGTTTCATTCTTATGTAATCAGAGGAAGAAAAAGGAAGATTGGCTTTACGTAGAGAGAAGCCGATCCATGTGAGCAGATTCACCAACTAAACATCAACTGATTTACTCTGATGCTTCGTTTTCCTGCAGCTCGGACCGCATCGTTTGGAAGCAGCCGAGTCCTGCAGCGCTGCCGTCTTTCACCATGTGTGCCGGGACCATGAGCAGAGCCTCCTGATTGGTCCATTTCTATTCAACGTTTTCATTTTAACGCTCTTTAAAGGGATAATCTTTCATACTATATCTGTTTAGTTATTTAAAAAGGACATTGAAGAAAACGCTTTTCCTACAGATCTGGGGACTGATTTTCATTTATCCTCTAAACATAAAACAGTAAACCTTAAAGGAGGAAAGGTGCGGGTGGTTTCCCTTAGTTACCATGAATGAACATCATCTTGGGACAATCTTTGAGGACCAGGTCGGTGATCCCACAGTTGGTCAGAGTGATGCCCACCAGGTTCTTACTCTTCAGGGACAAAACCTGTTCGAGAACAAGAAGAAGGAAATGTCATTAAAGAAGGTCAGCCATGTTGTAAACGCAGCGAGATGTCAGCCCTCCCCTTTAATCAGCTGTTTCCTCAGCTGTGCCTCCTGCTAACGTTCATTGATAACAGGTTGAGCTAAAACAATCAGCCGTTCAGTTTGGGAGCTGAATCAGAGGTCCTGCTGATGTCCTGCAGTGGGGGGGAAAGTATTTGCGCCCTTCCTGATCTGTCTTTGTTCCATGCTGATCAAAGCTCTCATTGCTGTTGAAACCTTCGTGGCCCAGTGAGGAGGAGCGGTGATGGCGGGTAGGGCCGCCGCCGGCAGCAACAGCTGGAATCAGGCGGAGGTGAAAATTTGCAGGGAGTCTCTTCCAGATGTGGAGGAGATTTTGTTGCCTTTCAGCCACGAGACGTTTGAAGGTCAGGTTCCCGCATTTCAACAAGATTCAGCTCAGGACTTTGACTAGGCCACTCCAAGCCAGCCGCTCTGCAGGTGTTTAGGATCGTGATGCTGCTGAAGAACCACAGATGGTTCAGCTTGATGTTCTTCTTCAGAACGCCTGGTTCCAAGCAGCCCTCAGATCGTCACGCTTCGTTTGATCGGTCCTTTTCCGGACGCTTACTTTGGAGCTTTGGTCCAGTCATCCACGGCAGATTTCCCCTGAAGTCTGGGGCATCATGCAGAGGTGTTCTGGAGAACCGGAGATGATGTTTTTGGACCCGACACTCTGCCTCCCAGCCTTCTTCTCATAGTGGGGGGCGTGACCTCCGATCTTGACCTGCAGCTCCTTGGATGCTGAGGGACCTTTCCAGGCTTCTTTGTTGATTGCCAGGTGCCATCAGAAGGAGAACTCACTATGACCAGAACCCAGAGAGACACCAGAGGATGCCAAGGCCCCCAAGAGGATGCCGGGGCCCCAGAGGATGCCAAGGCCCCCAGAGGATGCAGGGGGCCCCTAGTATGCTTACATCAGAAACCCACAGAAACTAAAGGCACAATCTTCTACCTGGGCTTTGGAACCGTTATGTCCAAAAGAAACATGGTGGTAATAAAACCAAAGCTCAGCTGAACCTTTAGCTTCTTAGGCTGCGTCCGACCGTCCGCCCTGACCACTACATCCCTCCATCACTATAGAGAGCGGGGATTATATAGTGAACTCTATAGTGAGCTCAGCTAACTGACCGTTCAGACAGATGATCACTACCTTTAGCTCCCGGTTGGCCTCATAACGCTGCCTCCTAACATGGAGCCTGCGCCATCTTTGATATCTATCACCGCTGTCAGGAAGCAGCAGCCGTAGGCAACGGCGGGTCGCTGTAACAACAAATCCCATGATGCTTTGCGAGAAGCGCTCTCCTAGCAAAGCATCATGGGATATATCTGCTCATCTAGTGACCATGGATGATCACTACTTTTCAAGGTGCATTGTGGGAAGTTTCAAGTCCTTTACTTTTTCATCTAGTAGATGTTGGTGTCACTACCTGATCCGTCCTGGAAGCACGACCCGTTCTACGCATGCGCCAACAGATATACATCAGAGTTTCCATAAGTAATGTAGTTATGGTTCTAAAATTATTAATTTCTCTCCTTAACTCTAACGAATGCTAATACTCATCTTTAGAAAATATTTTATGACTTTTTCTGAGATCAGTTTGATGCTTTTTCCATTTTCTCCATTAAACAGCTTCTCTGACATCATCATGGGACACGCTCAGAGCAATAAATCTGATTAAATCACTTTTATCTGCATTCTAGTTTTTTCTCTCTTTAGATTACGCACCATATAGCATAAGGTTAACATGAAAGGAAAACATTAAACTCATAAAGACTAGACTTATGTTTAAATCCAAAGGATTTTAATGCATTTATTTTCTCAGAAAATACATTTAAAACCTTTAATATATTATAGTTTAGTACGCTTAATATTTTTAAGGAGGGAAAAACATAATTTAGGTCTTTTTAACAAAATAAAATGGAGGGCAACCCAGATGAATATGTGGATGATTATGAGCTGACAGCGCATGGGAAGGACGGATCAGGTCATGACAGTGTCCAATGAACATGGTGTAGCCACTATACAGGGATGAGGGCGGACATTCAGACACAACCAAAGATTCTCCTCAGACATAGTTTGATGGTCCTTCGAATGGAGATGATCTAAATAATGACCATCTAGCGCGGTGCTGTCTGTGTACCTGTTCGTGGTCATCCTCAGTGACCGGGTCAGAGGTGCTGGTAGATTTGTCCGCCATCCGTTTCCTTCTAACGGCGGCTTGAGGCTTGGCTTTGGAAATATCTGCAAGGATTAGCCAAAGGGTAACCGTTAGCGCCGGCCTAAATAAAACACACTACAGCTTCAAATCTAAGGTTTTTACTTCCGCTAGCGGACACTTATTAACAACATTTAAATCATGAACATTAAAACAACAACAGGCGGATTCACAGATGCTAACGACGGCCTTCTGAGCTTTAAATAAAGTGGGGATAGAATGATTCTATAAGGTATCTGGTCCTTAAGGTCTCTGAATGGGTGTGTAACATCGGTTGGGCTGAAAATAGCATATTTTCTGTTCTATGAGCTCTAATGCAGCCTGATTTAAAGCCCTAGAATGAAACGACAGGTTTTCTTCCTGTTATGGTTTGATCATGGATATTTAGATGAGCTGTGCTGCTGAGCAAAGACACATCATAGCAACAAGCACTCACTCACTGAAACATCAGATTGTTGATATGGTAGGGTGACCAGACGGCCTCTTTATCCCCGACATGTCCTACTTTTCAGACCTAAAAAAATGTCTGGGGGGAATTTGGAAATTGTCCTGTATTTTGGTGGACTACAGTGCAGCAGAACCGAGCCGTGAGCTCCGGGGCTGGGAGCCAGCGGGGGACAGAGCGCCTGAACCTGACCCGGTGACAGTAGCCGTGGCCCTGTACTCCCCCCCCCCCCGGCCGCCGGGGTTCTCGGACCGTCCTCGGAGCTCACGGCTCGGTTCAATGCCCGGTCTGGTCCAGTCAGGAGCCCAGCAGCCCCTCCCCCTCTTTTTCAGAAACCCATATCTGGTCACCATAGATATGCTAGCATTGCTATGAACAGCTTAGCGACAGAATCATCCTTCCAGTTTGCGCTTGCGATGGCCTTACGATGGGAACAGCCCCTCGTTTCAGAGAAACAAGTTCTGCTTTGAACCGTCCAACATTTTGAAAGCTGTCTTTGGTAAAATGTTTAGAGCAAATGAACAGCTGAGCATCAAACTTTGCAGAGATCTTCTGATAGACTAAAATAATCCATGCCTGTCGAGCTTTAGATCCTTGGGAAGACTGAAAATGTTGCCCTTTCTCCAGTCAGCCTGGAACGCTGCAGTTATGATAGTGAACCAGTGGGCTGGTCTGGATGTACATTTCAGGGCCTGAAAAAAGTCCAGGCCAGAACCAAATAAGGCAACATTCCAGAGTTTATGTTAACTCTGTGCTTCATTTGGATTCACCCGCTTTGTGGTGGAAGGTTAGAATAGTGAGATTTGCAGAGAAAGGAGGTGCTGATCGGGTTAGAACTTCTCTGTCCGTCCATTTCACCCACTGAACTATTGTTATTCATCTATAACCATGGAAACTCACCGACTCTTTAAACCTTTATTACAACCACTTTCTTAAAACAGGATCTGCCTCAGACAACAGCTCTGAGTGGTTAGGGTCAACACTCAGTAAATCAATCAGTCATTCACTAAATCAGTCAGTCACTGAATCAGTCAGTCAGTCAGTAAATCAGTCAGTGAGTAAATCAGTCCGTCAGTCAGTCAGTAAATCAGTCAGTCAGTCAGTCAGTAAATCAGTCAGTCAGTCAGTCAGTAAATCAGTCCATCGGTCAGTCAGTAAATCAGTCAGTAAATCAGTCAGAGTGTTTCCAGAGAGGGTTTCCATAGGTTCTCAGCAGTCAGAGCCTCTCTGCTCATTGATTAGTACCTGGTTCTGGTTCCCAGGACTCTGCAGACGTGGTGATGCAGGATCTAGTTAAAGGCCGCCTTGGAATGAAGTTCTGACAGCCCTCATTATGCTGGGAACAATCCAGTCCAGCCATGGCGGGCTCTCTGCTTCGCTGTCGTTCCTGCGGCGTCCCACTGGAAGCGCATCCTGATGGTGGGTTTCTGCTGCTGCCGGATCCTCTCCTCGCTGTGGGACCGTCTCCTGTCTGCAGGTCAGATCTATGACATGTAGATCCACCAGTCCTTCCACAGCCAGTAGATCTGTCAGCGGTGGGGCTGCAGGTGTTCCTGTCAGCATTCCTCCCAAATCCCTGCGTGTGTCCAGGAGCCGTTCCAGCTCCTACCCTGCTCACAGATCCCGTTATGGGCCTGGTCCTGCAGCTGGATGCCGCTCCGCTGCTGCCGGTGCTTTGGACCGACCCACCGTCAGCCCTTTGCCTCGCCGCGCCCCCCTCCATCTCACAGCCCTTTTCTTTAGCTGCGGATCTCCTGCAGGTCTCTGTAGCAGCCTTTACGTCTGCCTTGATCTGTTCGCTGGTTACCTGACAGCTCTTCTCACAGGTGCCCTGCGACACCAAAGCCTTTCCTTGATCACAGACAGCAGCTCCTTTGGAACGTCGAAGAGGAGTCTTTCCTTTACCTGGGAAGGAAGAAATGAGCACAAAGGAGGTTGAACACCTATAATCCACAGAGAGGACAGAGAAACATTTAATGTGTAGAGTTTAGAGGCTGAAAGGTGCAAACACTCTGCAAACACAAAAAGATTAACACATGGAAAGGGAACATCCTGCGTGAAGCAAACTAACATTTAGTTAAAGCTCCTTTATCTGCTGCCTTTTAAAGTCAGCCGTTGACAACTATATGAAGAAATAAAGTTTTTAGATGTACAGAGTTCTTCCAACCCTGAATAAAACCAGCTGCTCTTAAAGGGAAGCCCCCTGTCCTGTCCTTAGAGAGGGGTCGCTGTCACCGTGCAGATTAGCTGCTGAAAGATCCACTTTGTTTACAGGGCAGGCGCAGCGTGGCTACGGTCAGGGCTTCCAGGAGCGGCGGGTAGAGTCAGCTCTATTAAGAATAAACAGGACGCTCATTCAGAGGGCGTTTGGAGGAAGGAAATGTTCCCTGGCTGCTCTTTGCCAGAATGGTTAGGACTAACTATTGGTCAGAGGGTAAAACAGCAACTAACGGCCCCGTGAAAGGCCGTGACCAGTGGGATTATTCTATGAAGGTCAATTTGTTTCAAAACTATTAGTGCGTTGTAAGTGTGAATTTGAAGTTGTAGAGAGTTACATTCTTAGTTTTGTATTTATAGACTTAAAAAAAATGTCCCATGTACAATTGTTTTTTTGTTTTTGTTTTTTTATACCTGTTCAGATTTTAAGCACAAGTACACAAATTCTGTTCTACAAGTTGCACATTAAAACTTTTTACATTCTCAGTTTTTGCTCCATATGGTCCAGAACTATTGTTGCTAAACTATTTGTGCATTGTAACGCTGGTTTTTCGTAACTGTAGATTTTTTTAATCTGTCACAATTACAAAAAAGTTACACCTCTTAAAAAAAAAGTGCAAGTACACAAACTGTGTTCTATGAGTTGCAGAACACAGTTGTGAGACAGCCCCCTGCTGTCCAATCAAGGGTACTACCCATAAGTCACGGATCAGTTTTACTGGTGGGACATTTGTGTCCAAAGTGAAAATGAAGGCGTGACGTGTAAAGTTGAATTTGTGACTCCCAGCAGCAGATTCCTGCAGTTGTTTTCACTGATTTATATTTGGAATAAAATAATAAGGAATAAAATATTTTTTCCCAAGATTTGTTTTAGATCAACTGTAGCAAAAGTGAATGGAAGACATCTTTGATGTGCAACTCACAGAACACAGTTTGTGTTCTTGCACTCAAGAATTTGAAGAGGTGTAACTTTTTTGTAATTGTGGCAGATTAAAAAAATATACAGTCACAAAACACCAGCGTTACAATAAACAAATAGTTTTGAAGCCAAATACCCTTCATGTTATTCTGCTGAGGAGCTGCAGACGTCTGCAGCGCAACCAGTCCAGCTGCCTTCTACAAACCTTTCCCACAGGAAGTTGGCTGCTGCAGACAGGCAGGTGGCATTAGCCTGGAAACAAGCCCCTCCTCCTCCTCAGAGTCAGAGTCTGAGACGGCCAGAGGAAGCTGAGGAGCGCCAGCAGCGGCTCTTCCCGCCTGGTTCAGACCGCTGGGACCTGCAGGACAAAGGCCAGAAAATATCCAACAGGTTTGGAGTCTAAACTTTAAAATGAGAATCCAAGGAGAAGAAATGCTGCGAACCTGCCTGCTCCTGATCGGGAGGCTGCGATGTTCCCGCTTGACTGATGTTTTCGATCCCCATTCCTCCTTCCGCCTCCTTCAGGTCTATGTGAGGCTCTATCTCCATTTTCTCCTCCTCAAATATCACCTCCCCTGCTTCAGCTTCATCTTCTTCCTGCAAACCATTTATCTCCAGGGGCTCTAGGAGGTGAAACCAAAACCAGAGGATTGTTCATGGTAGAGCTAGACAGACGCTCCATCAGTCATTAATGCTTCCCATGGCTCACCATCAGCCTGCTGCCTTTGGTTGTTATTGATGTTGTTGACAGGAGGAGCAGGAGGAGCAGGAGGAGGAGCAGCAGGAGGCACGTTGGCCTCATTAGGGTGATGGTGCTGGTTGTTGTCATTGCTGGCATTCTGGTTAGACACCAGCGCAGAGGACACACCGATGCCAGTTCCTGCGCTCAGCCCCACCCTGGCACAGCCCTGGGAAAAACAAACACACGCTTCTGAGGACCGTCCATTCACTCCCATTGAAAAACAATCACACCCTTCTGAGGACCGTCCATTCACTCCCATTGAAAAACAAACACACCCTTCTGAGGACCGTCCATCCACTCCCATTGAAAAACACACCCTTCTGACCCCCAGATTCCACATACTACGTCAGCGCTCCGCTCCGCTGACGTACGTCGTGCGGAGCGCTTGTCTTTCATGGAAATCAATGAGAGCTGTTCCACATCCACCGCTACTCCTCCGCACGTCTCCGTCCATGTACATCTTCTCCTTCCGTCACCGACAAAATACGAAGCCCAGCTATTTTTTGCTCCGCTCCGGTCCGGCCAGGTCAAGATCCGCGATAACAATCGCACCAAACAGGAAAAAGAACATCGAGAAATTCCGGTTCGTTTATTTTATACCGAGGGACTTAAACTTTAATCAAATCCATTCAAAAGAAATTTCTTATTACAGGAATTAAAAGAGAGGCTGAGTTGGGGAGTAGAGAACAAACAAAGTTCATTCAAAAAAAGCAATTTTAAATTATCCTAGTTATCCCCGTTACAAAAATCTACAACAAAAAAATATTTGGGCAGAAACTGAACATATGCTGGATGATGGTGGGATTTTTTTAATATGTCATATTAAATTAAGCGCTCACAGGGTTCATACAGGAATGAGGGACTCTAATTTAATGCTATTAGAAATGATTTTAATGCCATCAACAAGAACCATGTACACGTGTTATTAGTGTACATGAAATATGAAGGAGCTGCAAGCAGAGTTCCATGACTCCTGTATGTATGTAAACACACACACAAACACACACACACACACACGTATATAAATATTCACTAGCTTTTTCTCCGCCTCGAGCTTCCTTTCCGAACATACGGCTTTATGATCAGTTCCACGCAAATTAATAGCGATATAATATATCTGACGGAATTGTTTTTATAAACATTTTTTTTATTAAGGAATTATAAATGCCATGATAAACATATTTAATTATTTTAGTACCAATTAAGGCCTTAATAAAAAAAAATTAGTTAATTTCCGCATGTTTTGCTGCTTTGAATTTAATCACCTGGCGCATGCCCTCTACAATCTCCAAGGAACTCAGAGCGGAGCGGACGGGAGCCACAGCGGAGGATGTATGCTTTGCTTTGTGCAGGCGGTCTGGAGCGCAGCGGGGCGGAGCGCTGACGGAGTATGAGGGATTTCGTGGTGAGGACCGCCCATCCACTCGCATTCAAAACAATCACACCCTTCTGAGGACCGTCCATCCACTTCAATTCAAAAACAATCACATCCTTCTGGATTTTGAAGTCTACCTTGGGCGGCTCTCTGAACATTTGGTCCAAACAGATGAACTCCAGGGAGGGTAATAACTCCACGAAGTGGCAGAAGGACTCCAGCTTGATAGCGTGGCAACGAACTAATGTCAGGTCAACCAGGCGGCTCCATCTGGAGTGATCTGAGAACAGACGGCGTCAGCAGTGACCCACATGGCACAGGGATCAAACATGTCTGCCACGGGAAGCCCAGGTTTACCTGTGATCCACTGATGAGGGTTATGGAGGTGAGGACAGTTGTAGATGAGCAGGTATTTAATGTTGGTGAACACCTCGTTCACCACCTTAATGCCGATGTCTGTGATTATGCCAGGGTTCTCCACCACATCAGCCAGACCATATTTAACCAGCTCCAGGTGACTCATCTTACCTGCGTTGACAGCAGATAACAGCTGTGAAATGGATTATTAGACTGTGTTTTTTCTTGATTAATTCAATGTAACACTGTTCTATTCTTAATGAAAAGAAGCAGTATTCTTCTGTAGGTTAGATAAGGGAGAAACAGAGATAAACATGTCCTTATCATTTTCACAGTCCTGTTTCTAGATGAACGGAAACCAGTGGTCTGAAATGAACTAAAGTAGGAAGACTGGTTGTTTGTGTGTGTGGAGTCTCCTTATAAGCAGGGGTGGGTTGTTGAACACCTCAGAATCACACTCAGAGCTGTATGCAGCTGTTTTGTTTCATTCTCCTCTGCAAAGTAAAATAAAACCTTTTCTTCTAGGGATGCACGATATTGGGATTTTGGCCGATATCCGATATGCCGATATTTTAAAACTCATGTAGCCGATAACCGATATCGATACCGATGTTAAAGCTGGACAAAAATAAGTAGTCATTGAAAATAGCAGTTTTGTTATCCATTTCTGACACTTTGAAAAATAATAAACTCAAATATATTTTCATATGCTGATATCAAATAGATTTTTAAAAACGCGGTATCGATCTATTTTACTTTCAAAATCTCGTGAAATTTCATCGTTCTGTTACAAACTCTCGTGATATTTTGCAAATTCTTGTGAGATTTTGTTAGTAAAATAGATCGATATCGCGTCAATATATCAACATATAAAAATATGGCAAAATTTCGTGAATTTTCAGGGGATTTGGTAGCATAACGATGACATATAGCAATATTTCATTAGTAAAAGAGATTGATATGGTGTTTTTAAATGGCAATATATCAGCATATGAAGATATTGGGATATTTTAATGTATCAATATTTTTTCCCTCGTCTTTAGAAGTTTTTAAGTCTGTAAAAAAGAAGTTTTTGAGGAAGAAGAAGTTGTAGTATTAATTTTTTTTTTTAATAGACTTTAGAATCTCAGAAGCTGATCAAATATCGGGTTAAATATCGGTGGGGGGGGGCCGATGTCCGATATTCAGTTTTAAGGCCGATACCGATAGGGGGCCGATTATATCGTGCATCCCTATTTTCTTCCTTGAATATCAACTCTCAGCGCTCATTTTTACTCCACACAACACATAGATCTTTCACACGGTTACCCTGGAAACCAACACTTTATACAACCGGAATAGATCCGTCTGCTTCTAACTGAACACCTGCCTTCATCATTTAATAATCTGTCCTCACTGTTTGGAACTAGAGGCCTGCGTGGGACAGATTTTCCAGTCCCGCTCCCGCAAAGATTATGATTTCCAGCCCCGCTCCCGCCCGCAATTCCCACGTTAGCCAACTGCTCAAGGCAATTCGTGTCATTAGTTTGAGGAATTAAACAGGCAGCGCTTAGCTGAGCACATTACTGGACGATTATTCACCGCATGGTGCGTTAGGAGGCACGAGCTGCTGCTTCACAGCAATACCCAACTAACCTACCAGAATCTACTGAGGATATTAATATATTGTGCATAATCTTATATGCTACTCATCATCACGTTCATGTATGAAATAAAGACTAGCTAAATGTGAAATGTTTATAAATATTTTTACAATTATATAATTCCTGCTCTTAGTGGGTCGCTCTGTCAACGAAAGGCAGATTTAAGAGTCTTTATCCTCCAGTTAATTATTAATCGATTACTGGATTAGTTTACAATTATTTCAATAATTGATTAATCGGATTAATCATTTCAGCCCCAAAGGAACAGACACCTGACGCTGCACGGCTGCTGCACGGCTGATGCACGGCTTTTAATTGCCTGATCTAACCCTGGAAGCGTTCTGGTTGGTGGAAGTGCTGATTGTGCACCGGGGAAAGGTTACAAACATTGTAGGAGGAAATCGTCCACGTATCCCAGGTGGAGCGTCTCAAACTGAGGGAACTCAAGCTCGGCCATTTTGAGAGCTGAAAAGACCCCGTCTTTAGTGAGTGAAGGCTGGATCCGCAGCTCATGAAGCCTGCAAAGCAAAAAAGATGGAGTCTAAATTATTCATCTGATGAAACCAACAGCCATAAATTATAAACCTGATGACATTTTATGTGTTGGCTCCCTCTACTGGCAGCAATGTTGCTGCTATAAACAGGAAGTGACTCAGTGGAATATGTGGAACTAAAGGAACCAGACATGTTCACAAGTCATTTTTTACAAGTCCAAGCCAACTCTCAAGTCTATTTTGAGGCACTTTTCTCTAACCTGTGAAGGTTTGAACATCAACCCCACTGAGAACGGAAGAAATAAAAATGGAGGCTGTGAGGGGTTGATTCTATAGGTCCAGTTAGCAAAGAATGACAGGATGTTTAGGAACAGGAACCGTTTGGCTGCTAGCGGTAGCTAGGGACTTAAAGGAATAGTACACCCAAAACATGATTAGCCTTCATTTTCTACTCACCCCCATGCTGAACAACACTCTGGAGTACTTTTTTGATATCTCAAATGCATCTGGAGATCTGGGAGGCTTCTTGCTGTCTGCTGACATTCAAATAATGGAGGTCTATGGTGACCGAGACAGAAAGGTCCATAAAAGTCCACAAAAAACGTGTTAATATTCCTCCATACTGCTCGTCCAATGTATTCCAAGTGTCCTGAGTGGGTAGCGTCCATAATTTACTCGAAACGAAGTCATTTAGAATGTTTTTAGAGCATAAACAGTAGTGTATAGGATTTCCTGAAAGCGCGCACATGCGCGTTCATGACACTACGGAAGCCGCGGCAGACCAAACCAGATGAAAGTGCGCATTCAGCGTCTGCTCTGCCAATAATGCAAGCGTAGAAGAAGAAATGTGCTGTTTACCTGTGCAAAGAAAGAAACAACGAAAGAAAAATGTCTGAGGACTTCAGTGTTGAGGAAGAGCAGGAGTTCTTTGCCGAGCTGAATGCGCTGGATTGGTCTGCCGGCTTCCGTAGCGTTGTGAACGCGCATGTGCGCGCTTTCAGGAAATCCTATACACTACTGTTTATGCTCTAAAAACATTCTAAATGACTTCGTTTCGAGTAAATTCTGGATGCTACCCACTCAGGACACTTGGAATACATTGGACGAGCAGTATGGAGGAATATTGACACGTTTTTTATGGACCTTTCTGCCTCGGGCGCTGGGCACCTCCATTATTTGAATGTCAGCAGACAGCAAGAAGCCTCCCAGATCTCCAGATGCATTTGAGATATCAAAAAAGTACTCCAGAGTGTTGTTCAGCATGGGGGTGAGTAGAAAATGAAGGCTAATCATGTTTTGGGTGTACTATTCCTTTAAGGAGGTCTCTATGCTAACTGAATCGTCCTGCTTCCTGGTCCCAGCTCCTTCCTCACTGCTGGCACTATTCAGACAGGACTGATTATGGCGAGCGCTCCTCTGCTGCAGAGCTTTGAGGCCTAATTGATCCTAATCTAGGATGTAATAAGCTGAATGATTCCTGTTCAGTAAAGGCTGTTCAGTTTTCTTCTCTGCCTGCATCATCTCAGTGGACCCTGGTTTACCCTCGCTTCGTGTCCTTCGCCATCATCACACCCAGGCCCTGATTTGTTAACGTAAAGCCAATGGACAACCATTCAGACGGCTGATTTGTCTATTTTATCACAGGAAATTCTGTCCTTCACTTCGCTGACCGCTGATTGGCTCCTGATGATGCCTTGAAACATGAAAATGACTGGCTGCAGAATGACAGGGTGTGGTTGGTGAACTATAACCCAACAGACAGGATTCAGCTGATTGGTTTCATCTGGAAAAAGAAAAAAACTTCAACGGTTCTTCCCTGGAAATGAACCCGCCTACAGTGGGATCGTTTACCTGCGGGCGGCGGTGATGATGAGGTAGCCAAGGTCCACTTCCAGGGCGTTCTTGCAAGCTCCAAAAACGATAGTGTGAAGGTTTCTGAATCCTCCTGGATGGAAAACAACAACCAGCAGAATGAAAGGCAGCGTGAAGAGAGATAAACACACAGGTTTATTTTCGCAGCGTCTTCTCACTGAAAACACAAAGGTTTCCATGGTTTCCCACGGCTCCTCCCCTCACCCGATCTCCAGCTGTCCTCCACCACATGCTGGATCAGGCCGCCCAGGAAGGGAACCCTCACCAGCTCCAGCTGCTCCAGGTTCCGGGCTGACGCCAAGCCGGTGACCAGCGGGACGTATTTCAGCGAGTTGGTGGGCCCCGCACAGTTCCTCATCACAAAGGACCTCAGGTTGACGCACAGGAAGTCCTTAAACGGCTGAGGCTTGGTCAGACGGACCCACTTCAGGTAGAGGTGGCGCAGCATCGACACACAGGGGATCTCTGGGACGTTCACGCCTGAAACATTTCAGCCAGACTCAGCTGCGGCGCTCAGAACGTTAGATCAGACTTCCTGTCCCACTCACCCACTAGATGAAGCGTCTGGAGCTTGGCCGTTACTGGGATGGTGAGTTTATTCTCTGCAGGGATGGGAAACGCTCCGTTACGGTTGCGAAACTTTCCCAGAATGTGAACCTGAGGCATATATTTCCAGATGGCCTCCACCAGCTCCAGATGAGACGTCTCCACACCCTGAAAGCAGCAGAGCTTAGGTCACCTGCTCCACGGACAGAAACACTGAAGGAAAGAGCAACATTCACCCTGATCATTATCAATATCATAATCTAGCTCCTACAGCCTGAATCATTAAAACCATGATTAGATAAATCCAGGTTTGGGCTGAGACACTAGGGCGCCTTCAGACACCACGTGCAGCGTTTGACCCAAAGGTCAAAGGTCAGGGTATTAATCTCTGACCACAGCGTGAGAAGGACCTCTGCTACACGGCACTGAGCAAAGCGTGGCGTTGTAAAGGATAAACACGGGAATGCTCCGTCCTTTGAATCTAAACGCAGAGCTTTGATCTCCTCATGAGGCTCCAGATCCAGCAGGAAGGAGCGTTTCTCACCAGCAGGGTGGGACACGCTTGCAGTGCCTCTAGGACTCCAGGAATACTGAAAGCCTCGTAACCTCTGACCCGCCTCCTCTCCAGGTAGCGAGGGTGGAGGCCATACAGCTGCTCCAAGTCAGGCATCTTCTTCAACAGGGTGGAAAAGCTGCGGTCTGTGAAACCTAAGCAGGAGAAGAACATGAAGAGCTGTTCATCAACAGGCTCCATTAGATTCATGTTCATCACCACAGAAAAAAAGCTGATGGATTTTTGGAAAACCAGGCTGGTCCAACGAAGCACAGAGAATATTTCCCTATAAAGAAGGAAGCTGCAAATAAAGACACAAGCTGCTGGCTGAAAGCCAGAAACCCTGACAGCTAACCCTAACAGCTAACCATAGCAGCTAACCCTGACAGCTAACCCTGGCAGCTAACCATGGCAGCTAACCATGGCAGCTAACCATGGCAGCTAACCATGGCAGCTAACCCGGGCAGCTAACCATGACAGCTAACCCTGAGAGCTAACCATGACAGCTAACCCTGACAGCTAAACCTGACAGCCAACCCTGATAGCTAACCCTGGCAGCTAACCATGGCAGCTAACCCTGACAGCTAACCCTGACAGCTAACCCTGACAGCCAACCCTGATAGCTAACCCTGGCAGCTAACCATGGCAGCTAACCCTGACAGCTAACCCTGACAGCTAACCCTGACAGCCAACCCTGACAGCCAACCCTGACAGCTAACCCTGACAGCTAACCCTGACAGCTAACCCTGACAGCCAACCCTGATAGCTAACCCTGGCAGCTAACCATGGCAGCTAACCCTGACAGCTAACCCTGACAGCTAACCCTGACAGCTAACCCTGACAGCCAACCCTGATAGCTAACCCTGGCAGCTAACCATGGCAGCCAACCCTGATAGCTAACCCTAACAGCTAACCCTGACAGCCAACCCTGATAGCTAACCCTGGCAGCTAACCCTGACAGCTAACCCTGACAGCTAACCCTGACAGCTAACCCTGACAGCCAACCCTGATAGCTAACCCTGGCAGCTAACCATGGCAGCTAACCATGGCAGCTAACCATGGCAGCTAACCATGACAGCTAACCCTGAGAGCTAACCATGACAGCTAACCGTGACAGCTAAACCTGAGAGCTAACCATGGCAGCTAACCCTGACAGCTAACCCTAACAGCTAACCCTGACAGCTAACCCTGAGAGCTAACCCTGGCAGCTAACCCTGACAGCTAACCCTAACAGCTAACCCTGACAGCTAACCCTGAGAGCTAACCATGGCAGCTAACCCTGACAGCTAACCATGACAGCTAACCCTGACAGCTAACCCTGACAGCTAATCATAGTAGCTAACCCTGAAAGCCAACCCTGACAGCTAACCATAGCAGCTAACCCTGACAGCTAACCCTTACAGCTAACCCTGACAGCTAACCATAGCAGCTAACCCTGACAGCTAACCCTGACAGCTAACCCTGACAGCTAATCATAGTAGCTAACCCTGAAAGCCAACCCTGACAGCTAACCATAGCAGCTAACCCTGACAGCTAACCCTTACAGCTAACCCTGACAGCTAACCCTGAGAGCCAACCCTGAGAGCTAACCATGGCAGCTAACCCTGAGAGCTAACCATGGCAGCTAACCCTGAGAGCTAACCATGGCAGCTAACCCTGACAGCTAACCCTGACAGCTAACCCTGACAGCTAACCATGACAGTTAACCCTGACAGCTAACCATGACAGCTAACCCTGATGGCTAGATGTAACAGCTAACCGTTGCGGCGTCCGGAATGACGAGCACAGCTGCGGACGTTTAAAAGGTAGAAACAGAAACCTGTCGACTTCAATCAGTCTCAGCTGTTGGTTTTACCTGAAGGCATGTACTCCCACCAGCGGCCCGCACACAGATCCACCACCTTGATGACCCTCAGGTAGAGGCTGACGGCTTCTCTGAGCTTCCTGGACAAACATTCCATACACATGATGTCCTTCATGGGAAGGTACCTGAAATAGAACAGCAATCTCCCATTAAAGGCTGCTTCAACGCAAAACCCTGGCCGAGCGTATGCTTAGAAATCAGATTAGAACAGCTGGCTGCTTTAATCTGGATCAGGTTAGAGCAGCTGGCCGCTTTAATCTGGCCCAGATTAGAACAGCTGGCTGCTTTAATCTGGACCAGATTAGAACAGCTAGCTGCTTTAATCCTGACCAGATTAGAACAGCTAGCTGCTTTAATCCTGACCAGATTAGAACAGCTAGCTGCTTTAATCCTGACCAGATTAGAACAGCTAGCTGCTTTAATCCTGACCAGATTAGAACAGCTAGCCACTTTAATCCTGACCAGATTAGAACAGCTGGCCGCTTTAATCTGGACAAGATTAGAACAGCTGGCCGCTTTAATCCTGACCAGATTAGAACATCTGGCGCTTTAATCTGGACCAGATTAGAACATCTGGCCGCTTTAATCTGGACCAGATTAGAACATCTGGCCGCTTTAATCTGGACCAGATTAGAACATCTGGCCGCTTTAATCTGGACCAGATTGGAACAGCTGGCCGCTTTAATCTGGACCAGATTAGAACAGCTGGCCGCTTTAATCTGGACCAGATTAGAACAGCTGGCTGCTTTCATCTGGACCAGATTGGAACAGCTGGCTGCTTTCATCTGGACCAGATTACAACAGCTAGCCGCTTTAATCTGGACCAGATTAGAACAGCTGGCTGCTTTAATCTGCCAAAGGCTAATCTGGGATTATCTCTCTCTCTGTTTCTGTAGCCTAGCAGTTTATGACGTTGGTCAGATGTTCTCCCAGCGTCTTTTGCTCTCAGGTCTAACATGATGAGAGGAGAGTCTGGCTGAAACGCTAAGGCAGGAAGAAAGAGAGGCTACCTGAATATATGACAGAGGACCTCATGGGAGAGCTCGTTGATGTAGTCCTTCCTCTCAGGCCGATCCTCCACACTACTGCCCCCTATGGGCTGAAGCTTGGACGTCTTCCTCCGTGGTCCCATGGCTTCCTGGGCACAAACACAAAGGCTGAAGCTCCCATGCAGAGAGAACAGAGACCTCTACTCTGATCAAACCAGCTGATCACTGAGCAGCATAGCTAAGGTACTACAGTACTGTAGTGCTACAGCAGACCGAACACAAATGGAACCGCCGACCGATCCCAGGCGGAGCCGCAGACCGAACCCAAGCGCAACCGCAGACCGAAACCAAACGGAACCGCAGACCGATCCCAGGCGGAACCGCAGACCGATCCCAGGCGGAACCGCAGACCGATCCCAGGCGGAACCGCAGACCGATCCCAGGCGGAACCACAGACCCAACCGAAACAGAAACGCAGACCGAACCCAAGCGAAGACGCAGACTGAACCCAAACGGAACCACAGACCTAACCCAAATGGAACTGGAACCCAAACGGAACCGGAACCGGAGACCGAACCCAACAGAACCGCAGACTGAACCTAAACAGAACCTCAGACCGAACCCAAACGGAACCGCAGACTGAACCCAAACAGAACCTCAGACCGAACCCAAATGGAAACGCAGACCGAACCCAAACAGAACCGGATCCCAAACGGAACCGCAGACCGAACCCAAGCGGAACCACAGACCGAAACCAAACGGAACCGCAGACGAACCCAAACAGAACCGCAGACCGATCCCAGGCGGAACCGCAGACGGATCCCAGGCGGAACCGCAGACCGATCCCAGGCAGAACCACAGACTGAATCCAAGCGGAACCGCAGACCCAACCGAAACGGAAACGCAGACCGAACCCAAGCGAAGACGCAGACTGAACCCAACCGGAACCACAGACCTAACCCAAATGGAACTGGAACCCAAACGGAACCGGAGACCGAACCCAACAGAACCGCAGACTGAACCTAAACAGAACCTCAGACCGAACCCAAATGGAAACGCAGACCGAACCCAAACAGAACCGGATCCCAAACGGAACCGCAGACCGAACCCAAGCGGAACCGCAGACCGAAACCAAACGGAACCGCAGACGAACCCAAACGGAACCGCAGACCGATCCCAGGCGGAACCGCAGACGGATCCCAGGCGGAACCGCAGACCGATCCCAGGCAGAACCACAGACTGAATCCAAGCGGAACCGCAGATCCAACCGAAACGGAAACGCAGACCGAACCCAAGCGAAGACGCAGACTGAACCCAAACGGAACCACAGACCTAACCCAAATGGAACTGGAACCCAAACGGAACCGGAGACCGAACCCAACAGAACCGCAGACTGATCCTAAACAGAACCTCAGACCGAACCCAAACGGAACCGCAGACTGAACCCAAACAGAACCTCAGACCGAACCCAAATGGAAACGCAGACCGAACCCAAACAGAACCGGATCCCAAACGGAACCGCAGACCGAACCCAAGCGGAACCACAGACTGAACCCAAACGGAAACGCAGACCGAACCCGAACAGAACCGGAGACCGAACCCAAACGGAGAAGCAGACTAAACCCAAACGGAACCACAGACCTAACCCAAATGGAACTGGAAAACAAGCGGAACCGGAGACCGAACCACAGACCGAACCCAAATGGAACCACAGACCGAACCCAAACGGAACCGCAGACCGAACCACAGACGAACCCAAATGGAACCGCAGACCGAACCCAAACAGAACCATAGACCGAACCCAAACAGAACCACAGACCGAACCTAAACAACCACAGACCGAACCCAAACAACCACAGACCGAACCCAAACAACCACAGACCGAACCCAAACAACCACAGACCGAACCCAAACAGAACCACAGACCTAACCCAAATGGAACTGGAAAACAAGCGGAACCGGAGACCGAACCACAGACCGAACCCAAATGGAACCACAGACCGAACCCAAACGGAACCGCAGACCGAACCACAGACCGAACCCAAATGGAACCGCAGACCGACCCAAACAGAACCGCAGACCGAACCTAAACAACAGCAGACCGAACCCAAACAACCACAGACCGAACCCAAACAGAACCACAGACCGAACCCAAACAGAACCACAGACCGAACCCAAACAGAACCATAGACCGAACCCAAACAGAACCGCAGACCGAACCTAAACAACCACAGACCGAACCCAAACAACCACAGACCGAACCCAAACAACCACAGACCGAACCCAAACAGAACCACAGACCGAACCCAAACAGAACCGCAGACCGAATCCAAACAGAACCATAGACCGAACCCAAACAGAACCGCAGACCGAACCCAAACAACCACAGACCGAACCCAAACAGAACCACAGACCGAACCCAAACAGAACCGCAGACCGAACCCAAACAACCACAGACCGAACCCAAACAGAACCACAGACCGAACCCAAACAGAACCACAGACCGAACCAGAACTAAAACCGTGTCCAGCTTCACATCCCCCCACTGGTGTTCAGAACCAAATAAAGGCTTCACTGAGCAGCACTGAACTGGACCGAACCTTTCAGAACTTTCTAGAACCAGGGCAGAAGGAGACGGAGCTTCAAACTGACCTGGACTCGGTGTCCCAGAAGCTAAACAGCAGCAGAGAGCTGATCCAGGAGCCTGAAGGAGCCTCTGAAGCTGCTGTTGATGCTTCTTCTTCTTCTCTTCCTGTCCTCCGTTACTTCCGGTTCGCGCATGCGCACATGTTTCTAAACCTTTATTTATAAACAAGCAGAAATACAATTCAAACAGATAATAAAGGATGTAGAGAAACATAAAGATAATTTAAATTAGGAAGGACAGCTGGAGCAACAACAGAAGCCAGTCTTTAGTGACGTCATAATTTCTTTCTTAATAAGGAGAAATTATTTTTCAATAATTAAAGTATTTTTCTCTTTTGTTTGGAGCAATGACCATATTTTCCCATAGATAAAATGATATTGTGAACTATTTCAGTGCAGCTGTAGATGACCTAGAAGCTGACAGGAAGTGATTGGATCATTGATCCTTTAAACCCGGAAGTCTGACAGATTGCTTTTTTTTTCTTTTATTAAGTCAACAAACATTTACATGGAAAAATACTCTCAGAGAGGATAGCAAAGGTGTACATGAATAGATAAAGATAAACTACAATGAAAGAAAAACAACTAACAGGGGATTTATCTCAGCAAACATTTAAAACAAACATAGTCAGAGCCATAGAAATAATAAAAACAAAAAGGTGAACGCACCTAGAACAGCAGATGTTTGGAGAAATCAAGTCTTAATTTTTTTGGCATATTTGTCATTTTTTTTTATCTTTTTAAGAGAAGAAAAATAGATTTTAAAGATATTGATAAACCAGTAAAAGGGAGGTTTAGAATTTCTCCATTTAGCAGAGTGATCTGATATTTACCCAACAGCAGGAGGACAATAATAGTATCAGAAACAGGCTGGGGAAGATGGTCCATATAAAAAATGACATCATTTAGTGCCAAAGGGGGGACATCATTCATTTTTAAAGAAATCCAATCTTTCAACTCTTCCCAGAAGCGGTGTGTAGTAGGACAGAGGGAAAACATATGTTCGACTGTTTCACTATTATTATTACAAAAGGAACATTAATCCACCTCAAAACCACATCTTTTTCTTTAAAATTCTTCCACAGGATAAATTTTCTTTATAACTTTAAAATGTGTTTCTTTGACTTTAGGTAAAATAGGCCGTTTAACAAATTCTGAGAATGCCTTATCGACTGTATCTGAGTTAACAGGAATATCTCTCTTCCACGTAAATCAATCATAATCATGAAATTTTCTGAATTTATTATTACATTTTTCTTCAAGCAAATTGCATTGTGAAATCAACAGACTGGGCAATATTGGTGGGTAATTATTATATATCCTAGAGTTTTTTATTAATTGAATTAAAGGCAGTGGAATTGATTTACCGTACACAATTCTCTTATAGAACAATTAACATTATATATTTGTTAAAAATCTGAATAATTTATAATATTGCTGTTATCATCCAATAAATCAGTAACATAAATAATGTCTTTGTTAAACCATTCCTTTTTGAAGATAGATTTGTTATTAATTGTTATTACTCTATTGTTCCATAGAGTTGAGCTATGGGGAGAAAAGCTGTGGCTGAAAATCATTTTCCAATAATGAAAAATCTGCTTGTGAAAGTTGGACAGCTTGGTTGGAATCATGTTTATCTCAAAGTCACATTTTAGAATAAAGTCTAAACCTCCTAATTTATCAAATAATGATCTTGGAATGTGATCCCACATAGAATTTGGGTGCAGCATATTAGATTTCTGACAGGTTTCGCATCCAGTAGAGAAGGCTGATCCATTATTTCCTGATTTTATTCAATTAAAGAAGTAAAAACAATGGAGAGTTTCACACTGAGAACAAAAAACTGATGAAAACTGAAGGAAAAGTTTTAAAGGAAATATTTTGTCATTGAATAAATTAAAGATAAATTGACATTTTGAAAATTATTTCTGGGGTAAAATATTTATTTACTTTGAAATGTTGTTTTGCATTTTCTCCAAAATCCTATTTCTCTGTGTGATCTGCTTGGGGAGCAGGCTGCAGCTCATTGGTGGAAACAGACTTTAAATCCCAGCAGGTTGCAGCTGTGATGGTCAGAGGCAGACATGTCCACCCACCCAAATACAGAACACTGATTTGCTGTTTGGAGATGGCGGCGGAGCAGGACGGCGGCAGCAGCAGCGGTTTGTTTCATGTCCTGTTTCTCTGACTGTGACTAACTGGATGTGCTCTCTTCATCCTCTGACATGGGAGCTGGCTCGGAGCTCGTCTGCCTGGCTGTGTGTTTCCTGGACGGGGCCGCCTGTGGAGCTGGTTGACAGTTGCCTTTTGTATCTATGCTTCTTTTTCTATGTCTGCTTCTGTCTCCTTGAACCCCAGTCGGCCTCAGCAGATGGCCGCTCACACTGAGCCTGGTTCTGCTGGAGCTTTCTTCCTGTTAAAAGGGAGTTTTTCCTCTCCACTGTCGCTACAAGCATGATTAGTGTGAGGGATTGCTGAAGAGTCAATGGGTCGATGCAATCAACTGGTTTAAATTCGATAGAAAATTTTGCATCGATTTGACTGTTTAATCTGGTGAACTGTAAAGTGACCTGAGATGACAGAAATAGATAGAAATAAACTGAATTGAATAGGAAGTAAAGAGAATAAAGAAATCAAAGAAAAATGATACTGCCGATGACTAAGAACAGATAAAGGTTGAGCGGGGCTTTTATTTCCAATTCCCAGAACAGGACTGTGAAGTACTGTTAGCTAGAAGCCAGAATAACCTTAAAATGTCTAAGGCCCTGAACACACCACCACTTTTTAATCTGATTTCTCATGTTTTCACACCAGCCTGCTTTTCATGCGCCTCTAAAACTAACTGTTTTCTCTGCGATTTACAGACTTTTAGTATTTTCCACCAGAGCAGATGTTTTACTTTTAACTGCGTCTCTTCCTGTCAGACCCAGGAAACTGCTGCTAAACTGATGCAACTCCACAACTCAGAAGTAAAATGAACCACTATTGTCTTTATCTAAGCCTTCAACTTGTATGTTCCAGTTGTTATCTTGTTATGATCCAGTTCCAACCAGGTTATTTAAGGAGGTATTCCCTTTGATCTCCTCCTCCATTTTAGATGTGATTAATTTATCTCTGTTACAGGGATATGTGCCTAAAGCTTTTAAGGTTGCTGGAATTAAACCTCTGCTTAAGAAACCGTCTCTTGACCCAGATGACTTGGTCAATTATAGACCTATATCTAATCTTCCTTTCTGATCTAAAATTCTTGAGAAGCTACACTGCCTGGCCCAAAAAAAGTCGGCATCAAAAAAAAAGGTCACTCACTCTAATACTTTGTTGGACCGCCTTTAGCTTTGATTACGGCACGCATTCGCTGTGGCATTGTTTCGATAAGCTTCTGCAATGTCAAAAGATTTATTTCCATCCAGTGTTGCATTAATTTTTCACCCAGATCTTGCATTGATGATGGTAGAGTCTGACTGCTGCACAAAACCCTCTCAGGCACAACCCAAAGATTCTCAATGGGGTTGAGGGTTGGACTCTGTGGTGGCCAATCCATGTGTGAAAATGATGTGTCATGCTCCCTGAACCAGTCTTTCACAATTTGAGCCCGATGAATCCTGGCATTGCCATCTTGGAATATGCCTGTGCCATCAGGGAAGAAAAAGTCCATTGATGGAATAACCTGGTCATTCAGTATATTCAGGTAGTCAGTTGACCTCATTCTTTGAGCACATACTGTTGCTGAACCTAGACCAGACCCAATGCAGCAACCCCAGATCATAACTCCGCCCCCACAGGCTTGTACAGTAGGCACTAGGCATGGTGGGTGCATCACTTCACCTGCCTCTCTTCTTACCCTGATTGGCCCATCACTCTGGAACAGGGTCAATCTGGACTCATCAGACCACATGACCTTCTTCCATTGCTCCACAGTCCAATCTTTATGCTCACTAGCAAATTGAAGCCTTTTTTTCCCGTTAGCCTCACTGGTTAGTGGGTTTCTTACGGCTACACAGCTGTTCAATCCCAATCCCTTGAGTTCCCTTTGCATTGTGCGTGGAAATGCTCTTACTTTCAGTATTAAACATAGCCCTGAGTTCTACTGTTGTTTTTCTTTGCTTTGATCTCACCACACCTTTAAATGATCGCCGATCACCATCATTCAGGATTTTTTTCCAGCTACATTTCTTCCTTGAAGATGATGGGTCCCCACTGTCCTTCCAGTTTTTAATAATGCGTTGAACAGTTCTTAACCCAATTTTAGTAGTTTCTGCAATCTCTTTAGATGTTTTCTCTGCTTGATGCATGCCAAGGATTTGACCCTTCTCAAACAGACTAACATCTTTTCCACGACCACGGGATGCGTCTTTCCACATGGTTGTTTAGGAAATGAAAAGCAAGTCATTGCACCAGTTGGGGTTAAATAACTTATTGCCAGCTGAAAGATAATCACCCATGCAGTAATTATGCAATAGGAGGCTCGTACCTATTTGCTTAGTTGAATCCAGGTGGCGACTTTTTTTTGTGTGTGATCAGTTTCACCATAATGAAGTTTTTGAAGAACCAGATCAGGTCAAAGTGCAATAATTAAAGGAAGCAGCCAAAGTCATGTTTTCATCTTTTATTAGAAAAGACCAACAGTTAATGTGACCTTCTGTTACCCCCCCCCCCCCCATGCCTTTCATTCAAAGCAACCAGCCTCCCAGTGAGGGAGAGATCAGCAACACCATGGGTCCATAGAGCATCCTGCTGCTGCAGCATCATCATCACCTCCTCCGTCTGAGAGGTCAAAGGTTAACCTCTAGGATCCAGTCAGCTTACTGCTGCTGGTAGCTCTACCCATGCACAGCGTCTCATGTCTACCTACAACCAATGAGAGAGAAGATCCACCCCGCCCCTCAGCGATGGGTGGGATGAAGCTACAGATTTGATTCCAGGTGTGATGAGGATCATCTGAGCAGGACGTTTCTTCTGAACAGATCGCCACCTGGCTCTAGGTGAGCCCAGGGAGGAACATAATCAACAGAAAATTAAAATAAAACAGTTAAATTACAAACAGGAAGTAACTGGACATGGAGCATATATTGACTCTCTCCTATTTTACTGCAAAAACACAGTAGAATATTATTTCACATGAAGGAATAACGCCTGAGCACTGAGTCCATAGCTGTCAATGACAGCTCTACTGCTGGCCCTCTTTCTTCTCTCCCTCTGAGCCGCCGCCGCCGCTGCTGCTGCTGTCGCCGCTGCTGCTGCCGCCGTCCCGCTCCGCCGCCATCTACAAACAGCAACAGGAAGTCAGAGCTGAGCTCTCAGACAGGCTGGAGCGCTCAGCGGAGGCTGCATACCTTCTTGTAGGCCATCTCAAAGAGCTTCAGGGAAGCTTGCTGCAGGTTGTTTGCCGCCTGTTTGATGTTTTCTCCCGTCTCTGACTCCTTATTGGCCAGGAGGTCTCGGACCTTCGTGATCTCCTCCTTCAGCTTGGAGCACTGAGAAGAAACGGAGGCATCAGAGAAGAAAGCAGGCTGTAGACATTCCAGACATCTTAAGTTCCAAAAACTCATTTCAGGGAGATGCTTCTCATAGCCGTTTCCCAGGATGCACAGCTTTGAGTGGTAACTAGGTGACTGCTCTCACTCTCTGCCTTCGCTCTCACTGGCATTAGAAAACTCCACCTCCCATTCTCTAAAATCCCGGATAATTTATCCGACTCGCGGGCATCAATGAACAACTATCACCTGAGTGAAGTTGGCCCCCATACCACCTTCTTCAAATCAGACGAAATAGGTGTCAATTATCTCAGCTCCGTTTGTGCTGCTTTGGATTTGAAGATTTGAAGAAAGTGGGGGGCTGGTTGACCTTTGTTGACCTCTAGAAATATTTCTTTATATCTTTAAAACAATAGCGGCACAAATTAACATTTTTGCCGCACAAACGTAGCACAAAAGTTTGACACTAATTTTGTCTGATATGAAGAAGGTGGGGGGGCCAACTTCACTCAGGTACAACTATCTACCGGTATATCAGGGAGATTCCCGGAACTTCCGGGAGAATTTGGATGTCTGCATTCCAAAACCAGGGTTCCTACAGCATAAGGCAAGTTAAATTTAAGACTTTTTAATGCCACTTAAAATAAAAATTTAAGACCAAATTAAAAAGAAACAAGAAAAACCAGTTTGCAACAACTTAACCCGGTGAGTAGCATATTTAAAAAAAAGAACGTTTAAGGTTGTTTTAAGGACATTATCGGACATGCTCTATGCTAGCCATTCTAAAGCAGCCAGGGGTGGATTCTAAATGAGCCAAAAAGCAGAGACAGGACCAATTGTCAAACTTTTGGTGTCGATCATTCGATTTCATCCTGGACACTACAGAAAATGGGCTAAAAGTGTTAAAAACCGGAATTCTCCTTTAACATAAACCACTGCACTAATGTTTCAAATTTTGAAAAGCTTCCCATACAGGAAGAAAGCTAAAAACACACAAATGACGGATATATTTGAACAATTATTTAACTGAATTCACAAACTTTGTTTTAGCAGGGAACAAAACAAATCAGTTTTAAAGCCCCAACATAACCAGTGCTAAGTCTTTTTTGCAGCTATTTTTCTTTGTATGGTTTTCTTAGTATGTTTGATTTGGTGATAAGTGGAGGCGTTGCAGAGACAAGGGTGGAACTAAACTGAGAAATACCGGCTGTTTCTCTGTAACTCCATTTTGACGCTTTGTGTTTCGTGCTTCGCATGTGCGACTCCACTGCCTTAATTCCCATCGTTCTGAGCTTGAATGACTTCTTGCATAAATCCACTGAGCCTCATGTATGTTCCCTGGTTTTAGTCCGTGGAGAAAACTCTTGGCTGGAGACAATTATTGTTACATTTACACTTGCTCATATTTTCCAGACAAAAAGTTAATGGTGCATCTCCCAAATGTCCCGGCCGCAACAACGCTTTAATGGTTCCGCTATCGGGACGGAACCAATAATGGCGAGCTGTTATTTTTTTTAATACAAAAAAAAAAAAAAATAAAATAAATTGCCAATATTAACGTTTTATTTAAATTACATAAATAAATCATAATAAAAAATAATCTTATTTATGTTTTTTTTTTAATTAAGACCTATGAAAGACTGATTTAAGACATTTTAATACCGATTAAGGCCTGTTTTATTTTGAAGAATTCAATGACTTTTACGACTTTTTAAGGGAACCCTGCAAACTAGAAAGGCAGAAATCAAAGGGTTCTAGTGGAGCTCGCTGTACAAATCTTAGGGGAAACGGAGGCGTCAGCTTCCAGCAGCACTGGAGGCGACCTTTGGTTGACCTCAAAGCCAACTGAACCTCCTGAAGATCCCATAGGGCCAAACAGCTGAGCTCGGCTGCTTGACTGAACGAGCAGAACAGAGGAACCTTTGGCTTTTCTGCTCCAGAAGCAGCTCAGAGGTTCTCAGCGTGGCCCCGGGGAGGAGGGCACCTTGGCCCCGGCGGGACCTCCTGTGCTACATGGCATTACGGGGCCTCTGCCGTGTTTTAAATCAGGGAGAGCACAGCCTCTCTCAGACATTTTATCTGATTCTGCAGCTACAGAATTCCCCGTTTCACCTGCAGGGGGTGACCTTTGACCTAGAGTGGTCGCCCAGTAGGGATTAGGGAAAGAAAATTCCTGAATGGAAAAACTGAGAAGCTGCAGTTTGAATGTTTGAGATCAATGGAAACACAGCTAGTGATGATGATGATGAGCAGAGCCTGCGATGAAGCAGTAATGAGGCGGCGCAGACGCTCCGGGCTGAACCGGGTTCTGGCCACGGACCTCCATGCTGTACCTCGTCAGCAGGAAGCTGCTCCTTGAACTCCTCCATCTTGGATTCGGTGTCGTGGATGATGCCCTCGGCCATGTTGACGGCCTCCACGCGTTCCTGCAGGAGGAGCAGCGTTAGCGGACGGACGACTGAACCCCCCATTATGCCAAGCTGTACATGAACCCGCCTCACCTTCCTCCTGCGGTCCTCCTCGGCGTAGCGCTCAGCGTTCTTGATCATGTTCTCGATGTCGTCCTTGCTGAGGCCTCCTGACGACTGGATCACAACTGGAGGAGAAGACGGGCAAATGTTAGGAAGCAGAGAACATCCTGAGCTCAGCTCAGCGAGCAGCGTGGGGTTAAGGGTCTGACTCAGGGACCCAGAGCGGCGGCTGTGGGGATGGAACAGGTACTGTAACCTTCTCAGAGCACAGAGCGCTGCTCTAACCACTAGGCCACGCCTCCCCATCAGTGCTTCCATTGTTTTCCTTCTGAGACCAGAACCAGAACCAGAGGTCACTCACTCTGCTGCTCCCGGCCCGTGCCCTTGTCCTTGGCAGAGACGTGGACGATGCCGTTGGCGTCGATGTCGAACGTGACCTCGATCTGAGGGACGCCGCGTGGGGCGGGGGGGATTCCCACCAGGGTGAACTGTCCCAGCACCTTATTGTCGGCCGCCATCTCCCTCTCACCCTGACACACTTTGATCTCCACCTGCGTCTGTCCATCGGCGGCTGTGGAGAACACCTGGGGAGCAGAGGGACAGATGGACGCTGCGGCGGAGGAACTCTGAGGCTCTCAGGCGTCTCTGCAGCTGCACCTACCTGGCTCTTCTTGGTGGGGATGGTGGTGTTCCTGTTGATCAGCTTGGTGAAGACGCCTCCCAGAGTCTCGATGCCCAGTGACAGCGGAGTCACGTCCAGGAGGAGCACGTCTGTGACATCACCGGCCAGAACGCCGCCCTGGATGGCTGCTCCTATGGCAACAGCCTCGTCCGGGTTCACCGACTTGCTTGGTGCTCGACCGAACAGGTCCTGGACCGTCTGCTGAACCTGCAGGGGAGGTCAGGTGATGAGGGTTACCATGGCAGCGCTGAGAATGATGATGTCACCCAGCAGTAAAATGATCCGGCTGATTATTGAATACTAGTTGGACCTGCTGCAGTTATCAGCAGATCCAGCAGGGGGCAGAGCTGCTTCTCCAAAGAGAACCTCAGAGGCAGCAGGAAGTTCTTCTCAATCCTTCCAGTAACCAAACCTTTCATCCCTCTGGAATCAAACCGTCTCTGTTGGACGTGCTGAATGACAGCCTGCGGTTCTGGAGGAAGTGGACCCGTCTAAGCTGGGTTCTGTGATCGCCCCCTGCCGGCGGCGTGGGTTCTGCGTACCTTGGGCATGCGGGTCATTCCTCCCACCAGCAGCACCTCTCCGATGTCTCCCTTGGACACCTCGGCGTCCTGCATGGCCTTCTGGCAGGGCGCCACGGTGCGGCGGATCAGGTCGGCCACGATGCCCTCGAACTGGGCCCGGGTCAGCTTCATGTTCAGGTGTTTGGGTCCAGAAGCATCCATGGTCAGGTAGGGCAGGTTGATGTCGGTCTGGGGAGCAGAGGATGAGTCAGTTTCAGACGGTGGAGTTCTGCAGTAGAACAGAACCGGTGCGGTCCGTACCTGCAGCGCCGAGGACAGCTCACACTTGGCCTTCTCTGCAGCCTCTCTGACACGCTGCAGCGCCATGTTGTCCTTCATCAGGTCCACGCCAGACTGCAGAGACAGACGGAGGTCAGGCAGGTGTTAGAGGACAGCCTGCAGCAGGGAGGAGCCTCTGCTTCTCATCACCCACCTCTCTCTTGAACTCCTTCACGATGTGTCTGAGGAGGTGCTGGTCGAAGTCCTCTCCTCCCAGGAAGGTGTCCCCGTTGGTGGACTTCACCTCGAAGACGCCCTTCTGGATCTCCAGCACCGAGATGTCAAAGGTCCCCCCGCCCAGGTCGTACACGGCGATACTGCAGAAGAAGAAAGGTCTGGTTGGTCCGAGTGATCGGAGCGGCTGGGATCGCCTGCGATTTCTACTCACATCTTATCCTGGGTTTTATCCAGACCGTAGGCCAGCGCCGCCGCCGTTGGCTCGTTGATGACCCGCAGCACGTTCAGCCCGGAGATCTGACCCGCGTCCTTGGTGGCCTGAGGACAGATGACAGGGAGAGGTGAGTCGGGGGCTTCGGTTCGGGTCTTGTGGGTTTCTGAGGTGACATCAGCTGAGAACAGCTTCCACCAAGCAGCTGCTGAACATCTGGTTGAGCTGCTCAAGATTCTAAAGCTGCGTTCACATCAAACATGTCCAGCTCCTCCCTACGCAGAGGTCAACTGTGATGCGTAGCGATGAGACGGGCATGACTCTGGCGATGACAGCAACGGTAGCTGGAAAACGTCTGCGTTCCAGCCAGTCTGAAGCTGGACGCGTCTAATGAAGGAGCAGAGAAGAGGAGGATTCGTTTGTTTGGAAGGAGGCGTTGGTCCTCCTCCTGGAGCTCCAGACGGGTCGGGGTTCTGCTCCTGACTGCCTGCCTTCCTTTCCGTCTGCTGCAGGGCAGTCCTGCCTCACAGCTGGTTTCTGGTTCTGGTGAACCCAGAGACGGTGCAGCTCAGCATCCAGCTTCCTGCGTGTGCCATAACAATACGGCCAGATAATCGCTTCAAGATGGAGGATCTGCCGACCCAACGTGGTCAAAACACGATGAACACTTGGATAGTGTTAATTTCGTTAATGAAAACTAGACGAAAATATTTTCGTCAACGCACATTTTTCACCGAACGAAAACTAGACGAGACTAAAATCCGTGTAAGCATTTGTTTGTGTTTGTGAACCTTAACAATGTTCAAAATAAATATGCAAATATTGTCAGAACATCTTCCATGTCTGCATGTGTTCCTTAAAATTGTGTTTTTATCAAAAAGATGAGAGGAAATGTGAAATAATTTTAACAAATGTTAAATATTAATCTGCTGACAAAAAAATAAAAGGTTAAAATTATGTCCTGACTAGAAGTAGACTAAAATGTTGACAGTTTTTGTTGACTAAAACTAAACGAATAAAATTATGTTTTCTTGGACTAAAATAAAGACTAAAATGCTCTGACTTATAGTCGACTAAAACTAGACTAAATAAAAATGGGATGATGTTGAATAAATGTGATAAAAACTAACAAACGATGCTGAAACTGGACTAAGACTAAAACAAAATTTAAAAATGGCTGCTAAAATTAACACTACACTTGGATGAACTACGCTCTGGTTTCAGTGCAGCATCCCTGACTGCTTCTAAATGTCTAGACGCCTTCAGCTAGTCTGTGTTTGCTGTCAGAGCTGCGCTGGAAGGAGGGCAGTCTGGATGACATACGGTTCGCTAGGCTACAGTAACAGCTAATGAACGGAGCGCTGCGATTGGCTGAAAGGAGCGCTGCAATTAGCTGACGTCAGCTGCACTGCCTCCATAGTGAACAGAGCGCTTGGCTCCATGAACTCCAGGATGAACCAGCAGGTAGAAGCTCCTCCTGTTAGAGGGGACGCCGCCTGTGAAGGCTGCTGATGCGGCGGCGATGCTGGAACCTTGTTTGATGTGAACGCAGCTCTTTGAATCTGATGATTCTTCAGGTCATTTAAAGGAGCTTTCCATTTTGAAGGTGGTCTGCCCCCTAACATCCCATAATAGCAGAGGGCAGAGCCCCTCCCCCACCTGTCTCTGAGAGTCGTTGAAGTAAGCGGGAACTGTGATCACTGCGTTCTTCACTTTGCTGCCCAGGTAGTTCTCTGCAACACAGACAGAATTAGCGCTCAGACCGGCTCCCTCAGAACCCCCCCAGACTGACCTTGGCTGACACCATACCTGCCGTCTCCTTCATCTTCATCAGGACGAAGGCGCCCACCTGGCTGGGGGAGTACATCTTCCCATGGGCCTCCACCCAGGCGTCGCCGTTAGACGCCCGGACGATCTTGTAGGGGACGTTCTTTCTGAGGACGGGAAAAGACTCCAGGTCAGAACGCGTCTGGGTCTCTGGTCACTGATCCAGAAGCCCTGCTTCACTCACATGTCTTTCTGGACCTCGGCGTCATCAAAGCGGCGTCCAATCAGCCTCTTGGTGGCGTACAGGGTGTTCTTGGGGTTGGTGACGGCCTGGCGTTTGGCCGGCATGCCCACCAGGCGCTCCCCCTCTGCTGTGAAGGCCACCACTGAGGGGGTGGTCCTCGCTCCCTCTGCGTTCTCCAACACCTGCAGGAGCAGAGCAAAGTCAGGCTGCGGGGAAAAGACTGGGCTCAGGTCAGGATGGTCGCGCCGCCCGCCTCCTCAGAGGAACCATGGAAACACTTCAACAGGATGGCTGCTTCTGGGTAGAAAGGTCGCATCAGAAGATCTAAGGGTTGAGAATCTGGCTCCATTTAGCTCAGAGCGGCGGGAACAGGCAGAGCGGACAGTCCATGAACTTTGTTTCCAAGTTTAAAAAGGTTCTGGACTGACTGAATGATGAGACTGATTAATTCCCATCCAGGAAGCTTTTTCAGTTTAAAGTACAGTGGATTTTTTTTTTTTTAGGAATGATATAAATGTGTTTTATATTTTATGTTATTTGACAATCATACAAGTTTTGTATCACAAATAAAGCATACTTATTACCGAAGCACTCTCATTATCTAAGTTTCTGTTTCCTTGAGAGCATGATATAATTTGTTTCTGTACTCACAAGCTCTCGGTGCCAGGCTCTGACCATGATGTAATAATGTTTTTGGTTTCGGCTGTGGGTTCGGGGGATGCCCGTTCCATATTTTGGTTTCTGTAATCATGCGCTCCAGGCGTGAGAGGGAGCGATCACTTTTCCTGATTGGGTGAAAGATTTTCCTTTGAAGTTAGACATAAATGACGGATGGCGGTTGGCATCGGCGGGGTCTGCTAGGGTTGCGTACGGACGCCTAGCTGCGCGGGTTGCTGCCCTGCCGGAATCGACCAGCCCTCCGATCCTTGTGTCACGGTAAGGGGACAATATAAATTGTATTGAGACAATATAATTTGTATTCAGCACGGTGCCTTGATTGATGTGCTTGCTTTGGTGTTTTCTGTGGCAGAATAAACCAACACATTTTAATTCTAGCAGAAACATCTTTGTGTCTTCATCTTTATTGCCGACTCACCCAGCTTGAATTCATGGCTGTGCTTCAGAATAAACATTAAACATGAAATCATGAAGACACGAATCAAAGCGATGAGTTCTAGCAGCAGCAAACCGTCTCCGTTCCTGAAACAGACTAAAGCTTTCTACTCATGCAGTCAGTCTTACCTTGGCCTGTTTCCCCTCCATGACGGCCACACAGGAGTTGGTGGTCCCCAGGTCAATGCCGATCACCGAGCCCTTGATGGCTTCAGAGCTGCAGCAGGAACACATGTGACCCCCCCATCAGTCCAACAGAGCAGTCCCATCATGGCCAACTCTGTCTGAGGCTTTATACTCACGCATAGTCTCTCCTGGACAGGACCCCCACAGCATCAGGCTGGAAGCCCCCCCAGCAGGCCTGCAGGTAAAACACAACATTTAGAGGAAGGAAGACTGAAGCAAAGCTAACAGCTCTGTGGATCCAGCAGTAGGAGGGGGTGGGGGGACTAGTGAAGGTCACCGGTCTAAGAACCAAACCTCTGGAGGAAATCACCACATGCTGATGTTCATAGAGCCAATAAACAGCTGTCGGGGGTGGGGGGGTCAGGGCAGACAGCGGGGCGCGTGATTAAACCATCAGAGATGCTAACACCCAGCAGCATCCTAGAGCTAAGAGGCTAGAAGCAAAGAGCTAACAGGGAAAGCTCACTGTCCTCCACCCAAGACCTGCTCCACGACCAGCAGACCCTAAAGACCAGCAGACCCTAAAGACCAGCAGACCCTAAAGACCAGCAGACCCTAAAGACCAGCAGAACCAGGCGGTTCTTCTGGTGGTCAATCATGAGCTAGCGCTGCTAGCATGCTGAAGCTAACTGTCAGGGTTTCAAAGTGAGCCTGAATGACTGCGGCAGTAAAATGTCTCACCTTCTTCACCAGAGAAGACACATTTCGACAGTTTCTCGTTGGCAGAGACCTAGAAACGCTTCTAGCGACACTCAGCATGATGCTAACAGGCTAACTGACGCTCAGGCTGTAGAGATAGAGCAGGTAGAGCGGTCCGTGTTCAGCTGTGACTGCTGGTGTCCGGACCTACTTCTGGAATGATCTAACACATGTTGCACCACACATAAGCCAAGGACCCAGAAATAGGCTGCAGGCTCACTGCCTGAACAATAATACTCAATAAAAATAAGACCAGCGACGTTCGTGGTTAATGTGGATATATTCAATACTCGATATGAGGTGGAAGAAAGAGTCACATTTAAGCAAGATCATAAATTTGATTATTCTTGTTAATTTTCTTTTTCTTTGTAATTTGGCTTGAACGAGGCAGTCCCAGGCAGCGGGCCTCTGAAGGTCATGATGTAACGTCAACACCAAGATTTCACGTGCGTTACATCAGTGGTGCCGCAGGAAGGAGTTTGATAATCCATTTATCCATTTAATGAACACTACAGACTTATTCGCTATTTAATGAACACTGCAGACTTATTCACCATTTAATGAACAGTGCAGTGTTCATTAAATGGTGAATAAATCCTGCAGTGTTCATTAAATGGTGAATAAGTCCTGCAGTGTTCATTAAATGGTGAATAAGTCCTGCAGTGTTCATTAAATGGTGAATAAATCCTGCAGTGTTCATTAAATGGTGAATAAGTCCTGCAGTGTTCATTAAATGGTGAATAAGTCCTGCAGTGTTCATTAAATGGTGAATAAGTCCTGCAGTGTTCATTAAATGGTGAATAAGTCCTGCAGTGTTCAATAAATGGTGAATAAGTCCTGCGGTGTTCAATAAATGATGAATAAGACCTGCAGTGTTCAATAAATGGTGCATAAGACCTGCAGTGTTCATTAAATGGTGAATAACTCCTGCAGTGTTCAATAAATGGTGAATAAGTCCTGCAGTGTTCATTAAATAGTGAATAAGTCCTGCAGTGTTCAATAAATGGTGAATAAGTCCTGCAGTGTTCATTAAATAGTGAATAAGTCCTGCAGTGTTCAATCAATGGTGAATAAGTCCTGCAGTGTTCATTAAATGATGAATAAGTCCTGCAGTGTTCAATAAATGGTGAATAAGTCCTGCAGTGTTCAATAAATGGTGAATAAGTCCTGCAGTGTTCAATAAATGGTGATTAAGTCCTGCAGTGTTCAATAAATGGTGAATAAGTCCTGCAGTGTTCAATCAATGGTGAATAAGACCTGCAGTGTTCATTAAATGGTGAATAAGTCCTGCAGTTTTCAATAAATGGTGAATAAGTCCTGCAGTGTTCAATAAATGGTGAATAAGACCTGCAGTGTTCAATAAATGGTGAATAAGACCTGCGGTGTTCAATAAATGGTGAATAAGACCTGCAGTGTTCAATAAATGGTGAATAAGACCTGCAGTGTTCAATAAATGGTGAATAAGACCTGCAGTGTTCAATAAATGGTGCATAAGACCTGCAGTGTTCATTAAATGGTGAATAACTCCTGCAGTGTTCAATAAATGGTGAATAAGTCCTGCCGTGTTCAATAAATGGTGAATAAGTCCTGCAGTGTTCATTAAATAGTGAATAAGTCCTGCAGTGTTCAATCAATGGTGAATAAGTCCTGCAGTGTTCATTAAATGATGAATAAGTCCTGCAGTGTTCAATAAATGGTGAATAAGTCCTGCAGTGTTCAATAAATGGTGAATAAGTCCTGCAGTGTTCAATAAATGGTGATTAAGTCCTGCAGTGTTCAATAAATGGTGAATAAGTCCTGCAGTGTTCATTAAATAGTGAATAAGTCCTGCAGTGTTCAATCAATGGTGAATAAGACCTGCAGTGTTCATTAAATGGTGAATAAGTCCTGCAGTTTTCAATAAATGGTGAATAAGTCCTGCAGTGTTCAATAAATGGTGAATAAGTCCTGCAGTGTTCAACAAATGGTGAATAAGACCTGCAGTGTTCAATAAATGGTGAATAAGACCTGCAGTGTTTATTAAATGGTGAATAAGTCCTGCAGTGTTCATTTAATAGTGAATAAGACCTGCAGTGTTTATTAAATGGTGAATAAGTCCTGCAGTGTTCAATAAATGGTGAATAAGTCCTGCAGTGGTCATTAAATGGTGAATAAGTCCTGCAGTGTTCATTAAATGGTGAATAAGTCCTGCAGTGTTCATTAAATGGTGAATAGGCTAAGACCTGCAGTGTTCATTAAATGGTGAATAAGACCTGCAGTGTTTATTAAATGGTGAATAAGTCCTGCAGTGTTCAATAAATGGTGAATAAGTCCTGCAGTGTTCATTTAATGGTGAATAAGTCCTGCAGTGTTCTTTAAATGGTGAATAAGTCCTGCAGTGTTCATTTAATGGTGAATAAGACCTGCAGTGTTAATTAAATGGTGAATAAGTCCTGCAGTGTTCATTAAATAGTGAATAAGACCTGCAGTGTTTATTAAATGGTGAATAAGTCCTGCAGTGTTCATTTAATAGTGAATAAGACCTGCAGTGTTCATTTAATAGTGAATAAGTCCTGCAGTGTTCATTAAATGGTGAATAAGTCCTGCAGTGTTCAATAAATGGTGAATAAGACCTGCAGTGTTCAATAAATGGTGAATAAGTCCTGCAGTGTTCATTAAATGGTGAATAAGTCCTGCAGTGTTCATTTAATAGTGAATAAGTCCTGCAGTGTTCAATAAATGGTGAATAAGACCTGCAGTGTTCAATAAATGGTGAATAAGTCCTGCAGTGGTCATTAAATGGTGAATAAGTCCTGCAGTGTTCATTTAATAGTGAATAAGTCCTGCAGTGTTCAATAAATGGTGAATAAGTCCTGCAGTGTTCATTAAATGGTGAATAAGTCCTGCAGTGTTCAATAAATGGTGAATAAGTCCTGCAGTGGTCATTAAATGGTGAATAAGTCCTGCAGTGTTCATTTAATAGTGAATAAGTCCTGCAGTGTTCAATAAATGGTGAATAAGTCCTGCAGTGTTCAATAAATGGTGAATAAGACCTGCAGTGTTCAATAAATGGTGAATAAGTCCTGCAGTGGTCATTAAATGGTGAATAAGTCCTGCAGTGGTCATTAAATGGTGAATAAGTCCTGCAGTGTTCATTTAATAGTGAATAAGTCCTGCAGTGTTCATTTAATAGTGAATAAGTCCTGCAGTGTTCAATAAATGGTGAATAAGTCCTGCAGTGTTCAATAAATGGTGAATAAGACCTGCAGTGTTCAATAAATGGTGAATAAGTCCTGCAGTGTTCATTAGTCTGCGAATAAGTCCTGCAGTGTTCATTTAATAGTGAATAAGTCCTGCAGTGTTCATTTAATAGTGAATAAGTCCTGCAGTGTTCATTTAATAGTGAATAAGTCCTGCAGTGTTCATTTAATAGTGAATAAGTCCTGCAGTGTTCATTAAATGGTGAATAAGACCTGCAGTGTTCGATAAATGGTGAATAAGTCCTGCAGTGTTAATTAAATGGTGAATAAGACCTGCAGTGTTCAATAAATGGTGAATAAGTCCTGCAGTGTTCATTAAATGGTGAATAAGTCCTGCGGTGTTCAATAAATGGTGAATAAGACCTGCAGTGTTAATTAAATGGTGAATAAATCCTGCAGTGTTCGATAAATGGTGAATGAGTCTGGTTCTGCTTGAGGTTTCTTCCTGTTCAAAGGGAGTTTTTCCTCTCCACTGTCGCTACAAGCATGCTTAGTGTGAGGGATTGCTGTAGAGTCAATGAGTCGATGCAATCAGCTGGTTTTCCTAAGATAGAAAACGTTGAATCAATCTGACTGGAGGATCTGGTTGAACTGTAAAGACCTGAGATGACATGTGTTGTGAATTGGCGCTATAGAAATAAACTGAATAGAATTGAACTGAATCAAAATCGAGGAGATCAAAGGGAATACCTCCTTAAATAACCTGGCTGGAACTGGATCTAACATCCAAGTTGCTACCTCTGAAAGTTTAACTGGATCAAAGCAGCCTAAACTCGTTTCAGATTCCATGACTACCCCAGATGCTGGTGAATAGAGGAGTGCTAATGATCTTTAGCTAGTTTCCATAAACATTTCTATGCTGTCTCATTAAATGCATTGTTCTCCTTGGATTAAGTGAAACCTGATTGATCTGACAGTTAGCAAAGATTACTGTCATCATCTACAGCTAATCAACAGCGGAGCTAATTATCAGACTTTTCACTGATTCTTTCATGTATTCTGTCTTTATTTATTCCAGCAGTTTTTAATGTTTGCATAGTTTATTAACCATAATAACATTGTGAGGGGTCAATAAATAAAGCAGCTTTCTGTTTTAATTGAGGAGGTTTTTGGATTATTTATACACCAGTGAGTCTAAAAGGAGCAGAGCCCACCTCCTTTGGTTATCAGCCCGGATAGATACAGAGAAATATTTTCCTCCTGGTTAATGATTAATCTCTGTTTACTGATGGTGAAGACATCTTGGAATTTACCAGCCGCTTCCAGACGTTCAGCAACAGAGGTGAGCTGTTAATAACACCTGCTGATTGAGCCAATAGTCATAAAGACCATTAATTGGTTTTACCCTCCATTAAAACGATCTATTCATTAACTCTAAAAGCCAGTTAGAGTTAATGATAATATCTTCATCATCTGCTGGTAAAGCTGCAGAGTGTTTGTTATCTGTGTTTGCTCTGCAGAAATGATCCTGTTGAAACAAAATTTTCAGGATGACTTAGTCCTGGACTTCCCCCCAGCCATCAGAGCAAACACGGGAGGCTTTTAAAGTCGGGCTGCTCTGAGGCCAAGCTCCAAACTGCTGCGTTCCACCATGACTGCCACGCTTTGGGCTACCGTCTCCGTTTCTCTGCTGCTCCTCCGCTCCGCGGCTCCAGCAGAAGATGAGTGCAGCCAGCTGACCCGGACTCTGACAGCTAACCAGCTCCAACAGGTAGATCAGGACCTCCAGAGCACTCCGTCTGCTCTGCCTGCCTTCACTCAATGCTGACTGTTTACTTTGAGCAGATTCTGGGCCGCTGGATCTTTATTGAGGGGACATGT